ACATCTGGTATACTGGAACATGTGAAAAGGAACTCGCAGCATTGGTGGGAGGTCCTGTTACTGGTAACAGTGGAAGGATGACAACATCCAATGCTTTTGTCAACCTCTCATGTCACAGCCTGCAACATGGATAAACACTTTCGTCAGTGTCAAAGTTAGGGCTATTCAAACAGAACATCAAGAAGATTGAGTCCGCAAACACACACACACACTTTCACACATATGGCCCTAGAGCCCTTCCAGCTAGTTGTCAAATTCTTCCAAACAATGGGCAACCCCCCCCCCAACAAAAGAGCCAGTTTCATAAACTTCTCTTCCCCCCCAGCATGAGCCTCTCAGTTTGAGGTGCGCATCTGAACACAGGGACCTTTTCACCGAGATATCACTCCATGTTTGATCGACCAATAAATATTTGAGTGGGAAACAGCTCTCTGAAGAGATGTTTTATGGTGCCAAATAACAACACCGTCCTTAAGCCTGGGCCTTTGCGTGGCACAGGAGTCTCTAGAAAATGAAATGTTAAGGAACTGGGACTTGTAAGGGGAAACAGAAGCTTAAAGTAAACATGGCCGAGCCCAACCTTCACACTGTCTTTTTATCACCTCGTCCTGTAAACACAACACACACATGCACAACAAACCAGTGTGAGAGTGTGTACGTGTGTTTTTGGATGCCTGTTTTGCGACTCAGCGGTCCAGTTTTCCCCACGGTCCAACGAGCACTTCTCTTTGACAAAGCCCCAAGTCTCATTCCCCCCTCCTCTCACAAGATAAGCATTTCCAGCTGGTTTCACAAACATTACAAATGAGATTCAATGGGTGACACAGATTGTGTCTTTCTCTCATTTTCTCTCTCCTCTCTCTCTTTCTCTCTCCCCATTTCCCTCTTTTTTCTTCTCACAGTGACTAGCCTTGTCTCATGAGACAGGGTAACTAGGGAAACTAGGCCACAGACTGGCCCGCTGAGATAGAAGAGTCCAAAACACTTTGCAGCTCAGCTCAGCTTTAAAGGAGCTCATGTTACATTTTAACTGTGCATACAGTAGCTTGGGTCCTACTAAACAAAACCAACCTAGAAAGTTGTACTGATCCGGGGAGCTCATGTAACACCAAACTACTCAGTGGGAGAAACAACTGTATAACAACAGAGGACCACTTATCTGCTGCCTTTGAGCACCACATCATTCTGCCAGAGAGTGTTTTCTCACATCAGCTAATGCTAATGCTAGCTAAACACAAAGCCCAATTATTTGTTTTTAAGAGAGTGCCTTTTTAGAGAAACCCTTAAACATCTTTCCAAAAGTGGGACAAGACGATTTAACATACTCTTATGTAGGCTATGTGCATAAAGTATGGAGCTTTACACTGGAGGCAGTTAGCATAGCTTAACTTTGTTATGATTATTAGCATAAAACCTGGAACAGGGGAAAACCATTGCCTGGGCTGTCCAAATTGCTATAGTTGTACATACATTTATTCACATTGCTTGTTTAATATAACTAATTCATCAGTGAGTTGGCAATGTGCTGATTGTTCTACTTTGGAACACACGATCAAATGAAAAGCTAAGTAGACTAAGCTAATCGCCTTCTGTTATACTTCATTTGTATGGAGTTAACACAACTCAAAAAGTCTATCCATAGAATAGGAATGATAAGGCAAGCTTATATTGTACTAAAACAATTTGTCATTGTGCATTTAAAGTCATATCTGTCATATTTGCCTGAAAACAAATTGCCATTTGAACAGCAGACCAATTATTCACTGGCTTTAGCCCCAGTATAGTCTGCCAGAGCTTTTTTTTTTTTTTTTTTACCACATAAGCCTGCTAGGCACAATCATTTGTCTTCAATGTGCTTTGACAGAATGGTTTGACATTTTACCAAGGACATGGTGAGTGGTTTGTCACTATTTTAACGCTTATGCATAGCTCAAGTATTCATGCTAGCTAGCGTGAAAATGAAGGAGTGAAACAGGTTCACAGGCTCTGTCAAGTTTCCACGGCACGCTGTAAAACCATAACTTCAAGGTCTTAGAAAAAAAGGTGTAACATTTTTATATGTAAGCTAAAGGCACAGATTTAGCATTTTATATACTGAGTAAGCTAATTGCCTGCACATTTACCACATTCACAAGAGAATGGTTTTTTCGTTTTTCTCACCTATCAATTATACTGTACTAAAGAAATTAGTTGTAAATTACTATTCCTTCAATCATTATTCCAAGTCTGTCACTCTATTGTGCTGCTTTACTTCTGCCTTACTGGATTGGCTACAAAAAAAATCTTACTGACGGAAAACTGGAAAAAAAAACTGGATGAAAAAGTATATTTATCTTAAAAGGTCAGAGGAAGAGATGTTCATAGTGTGAACCTTTTATTGCATTCAAAGGTCAACCACACTGACAACAAGAAGCATCAACTCTTGTTTTTCAGTCAATATCATGGCCCCAAAGTGTTTGAGTTATTTGACATCTGTGATTGGTTTAGTACAGTGAAAGAAACCATCACAGCAGATTTAAGGCCACCTTAGCTTGAATATCCTCAAACCAATTTAGAGACACTCATGGAGGCTCTTTAAAGCGCTGCATCCTGATGTATTCAAAAATATTCAGGGCCTTGATCATGACTAATAACTAGCCAACCCTTTAAGCACTTTGAGAACAAAGCACACCTGAATTGGGGTACAATTTACCACTTACTTCTAAGTCATGTTCAAGGCTCCGTCAACAACTAAGTAAATATGTGCCACAGTAGCTCAGTCTGTGTAGGGACTAATTGCTGGAGAGGTGCCAAGTCACCTCACAAGTACTGCCAAGCTGCCTTGGAGCAAGGCACTAAACCTTACAGCTCAGGAGCACTTCCTGTGAAGCAGCCCCACTCTGACATCTCTCCATTTATGCATTTCCATACCAATCGGGTCCTGTTTGTGTGTTTTTCAGGCCTGTAATCCGGAATTCCCCCTGGGGGATTAATAAAGTATATACAATATAATCAAAATTCAATTTAAAAAATGTAATCGTAAAGTGGCCATCTTTCAAATGTCCAAAGCCAACAGAGACTCATATAATCAAAATTACAATCAAACAAAATCTCACTTTGTTACAATTTTTTTTTACAACGTTACCTTAAGTGCCTAGAGGCTCATTCTGCATCGTAACCTAATTTTGAAGAAATTTCAGCATCTAGTTTAAAGACAATTATTAATTTAGTTGATATTGTTCTTACAAGGACCATAAATAAAGTTGTGTTTAAGCAAGTCAACATAAACTAATTGGCGCACAGCAAACCTTGGGGCAGGTATTAACTCCAGTATGAGAGCATTGGTTGGTTTTAAGAGCTCCAGGCGAAAATATAATTAAGCTGCCATGTCTAGCCAACTATGTACACTGTACTACTTGATGCGTGCTTGAAGGCGACATATACAATAACCTGGGGGGAAGGGGAGGAGGTGGAGGGTTTGGGTTGTCAGTCGTGGACAGGCAGCTCATTTTTGCCCAGGGGGTTTTGAACAGTGATGCCTCCACAGTGTCAGAATGTAGGTATCAGTTTCACTGCAGGTCACACCATACTGAAAGACATACAGTTATATATTGCAGTACAGTGTTTTAAGGCTGGTGTTATAAACTAAGTAAAGGGTCATATATGAAGAGACCCCTGAGAATGTCTCTTATCAGTAGAGAGCAAGAGTGCTAATTGTGTCCAACTATCATTAGGCTCAAGGGTCTCCAGGAATGTAATTGCATATGAGCAAGTCTTTTATAATGGCTTGTTTATGAGCTCAAAATAGGTTCTGAATTCGGGGCCATGAAATGCAAAGCACAACACAGACTGTGTCGTATAAATCAGGGGGTGGTATTGACAACTAAGTCCACAGCAGGCAAGAATCAGGAAGGTAATAAAAATCCCTCAAGCCTGTCCTTAGTTTGTTTTTTTTGTCATGGAGGAAGACAACGTGGCTTACATTCTGAGGAACTTATTGATGACATGAATCAAAGAAAAATAAAAAAACATAGTGGAAAAATGATTGGCCATATGTAGTTAAGAGACATTTCGAAGCTCTGTAACAGATACTAAATGAACCTTGTAGTTCAATTATCTTGTCAACAGTTCTTTCCAAGATTAAGAATGAACTTCTAATCAAAACTTTTTAAATCTAAAATTAGCAACCTGATTACTGAGGGAAATATCACAGGAATTTGGATACTTATAATTATTTAGTGACAACTGATCATATACTCATTCTGATTAAGGTAATTATCAAAAGCGCCAAAAAAAGCTACTACGTGGTGAACTCATTTTGTTAATCAGTTAACACATCATTCAAGATTATTACATAAGAAGGCCCTTATTGGTTGAAGAAAATAATAAATGAATGAATTATAATACATACTTGGTGACAGACATGTGACTACTCTGACATGTTGACTGGTCTACAAAATTCTCTAGGACAATGTAATAAAAAAAACAAAAAACACTGAGACCAAAAACTTCAACTCCATTTGGCTGTGGAAGTTTTGTTTCAACCTTTCAGCTCATTGAGAAACACAGGTTGACCATACAGTATAGTTGAACATTTGGTGCATTATGAAATTCCTCAAGTATTTGACCCTTTTGACACCAAACAGATCTGAAATGACTGCTAACATCATTGATTGAAAAGCCAATAACCTGTCAGGTACTCTTTGTCATGTTCAAGATAATAAAACCCATTAGTACTTGAATGTGCCCCGGATGCACATTTTTTGACAGTGTACATTTATGACAGCTCACCTGTGTTCATGAAGTAGCTTGTGTCTGCTGCTTTGGAGTAGTTAATCATTTATAAGCAGGGGATCCTGCAGAACTAAGAGTCTCCCTGTGAGCTTAGCTTAGCCATGCTATTTAATGGACTAAATGCTGCGTTTAGGTGTCACGCTGGGACTGTGAAACAGGCCAGAGACGCACCGCTGACACATTCTGAATGGGACAAGGTGGGAATGAAGCTGAAGCAGGCAACTCACGTAGTGTTTAGACGGATTGCGCCTCTTCTCCACGTCCACGACTTTCACGTCCAGCACAGTCCGAAACTGCATCTTGACCCTGCAGAGGCTATGCATTAAGGGCGACTGTCAGGCAGACAGGCAGCTGCTGCGGCTCCAGATAGGCTATATCTTCTAGGGCTATATCATGGGAGAGAAATCACACACACATTCATCGCTGTGTCATTTAACCATTCGGCGGTCCATTAAGACATCAGCAGCTCCTCGCAGTGGATTCGGCCGCCCCAGACTTCTTCCCCCTCCGATGACGCAACGCTCCTCAAATCTGATTAGAAACTTATCGATAGTCAAATTGAAGACGCGCGGTGAAACAGCCGCGAATATCCAAGAGGAGAGACTAGATTTTCACGTTGGAGGCTGCTATCCAGCGGCTGACGGTGGAGCCCTTGGTGAAGTCGGTCACCCTTAAAAAAAAAAAGAAAAGTGAAGCAAGTTCCTTTGTGTCTGCCTCGATGCTTACTGAAAAGGGGCATCAGATCTACCTTGGAGGTTATTACAGCGGCTGGCTGAATGGAAAAAGGGGAGCCGGCAAAATCCAGCGAGCGCCCAAACGCGTCCTGCTGCGTTCCGGCAGGCGCAGTGAATTTAGGGGGGGACGGAGTGGGATGGGCTTCATCACGTCCTCAGGGCTACTTGGAATAAAGCTGGGGCTAGAAAAAAAAATAGGGATTTGGCTGTGCCTTCCTTGAGGAGAAGCGTGCTGTTGATATTAAGCTGCGTTTGTAAGCAGCTGACACATAAAGTGGGAATTTATCATTCTCATCATCCATGCGTTTAGCCTACCCCCCTCATAACTTTTCCTCTCCGTCTAAGAGAATATGAAACATTATATATACTATACTGAGACTATTTTCGCCTCAAACTGTTATTTATTGAAATGTTCTCCCCCATTGTGTGCAATAGGTGACAGCGTGAAAACACCACAAGTTAGTGTCGTTCACAATCTCCACGATCCGAGCTGTGTGTGTGCAGCTTTCTGGCCGGAGACACGAGCTCCTGGAACTATGGATACAGATGTTTCACAAGCGACCAATCAGCAGCCAGGCTCGACATGAAAGAGCCAATTAACGACCAAACACTGCCCCCCTGTGTAGACAGCAACACAAGCAAGAAGGTAAAGAAACCCATTCAGAGGCTGGTCGTTCAATACAGAAGCTATGACTAGCACAATTGTACCATGTAATTAAAGCATCACTAAGACAAGATAAGTATCACTTTTAATCCTTTTTTAATTTAAATGATTTCACTACAGCTAACAGCCTCAAGCTGAAATCCAGCTTGGCATCTGCCCCAAGGCCCCCTGAGAACTCCTGGGGTCCTGAAAGCTCAAGACTTACTCTATATCAACTGCTTTGGGTGGTGTTATTGAGAATGCATATGAGATTATAAAAGGCTTGATTGCAACACCCAAAGGTCCCCTTGTACAGTCATCAATAGCACAAAGGGTTTGAAATTAGTCGCTTATAGGAGGAGAGAAATTCTAGACAATAATAGATTTGTACTTGGAGCTAAACTTTACTGACTTTATGAGTGAGATTCAGGTCACCAATAATAATAATCATCATCAACATAATCATAGTAATAAATTTGTCATTTTAATTTTAGACCACTTTTCAAAATCCACATTACTAAGTGCTTTACAAGGCAGAAAAATAATACAGGCAGGCCATACAATCGTAAGAAAATATATTACGAAAGAAGACTTTCTTTCTTTTCCGATAGAGTGAAGGTTTCTTCCTCATTCTTTATGACCTGCTCCACACAGCAGATCTGTTGTCACTGACTTGTGTAATTGCTGCTGTTGACTATGTTCATCTGTTTTGTTTGCACTCAAAGGCCATCAACTAAATCGTCCCTCTAGAAATAAATACCATACCATGATTAGCGATGCTCTGCATGTAGAGGATGTTTTTTGTTCTGTGGCTATGAAAGGAGATTTTTAAAGCCTAGCTCCTTTTGGTAAATATCCACTGGGGCAACAAATCCTTAACTACAAGCCGAACAGAATGGTTAATGGAATTTAAAGAATTGTGCACTTATCATACAGATTTTTTTTGCATTTTGGGAAATGTAGGATTGACTGTCTTAAGAACCGGATGTAGCCTCTTGGTTTTGAAAGGCAAGGCAATTGCGTTTCTGCCTCACACCTCCATTCTTTATAATGCCCAGCAGGGGGCCACTCCACTAGCTATATAAAGAACTTCTATTTTCTCTTTTTGACCATTGCCTCAGTACTGACAGGCAAAGTGATGTGTCCCAATCTTCTCAAAGAAAACAAACAAAAGGAAAGCAGATAGTAAAAGAACATTTGGAGAGACGGACCAGACTAAACCTGAAGGTTTACTTTTTCCTGAGGACCCCCTTGCAAGTGAATCGAGCCACACACACACCCAATCTTTGCAGTCTGTTACTTAATCCTTGTAAATAATGACCACATATAAGATGCTAAAAGCTTTCATGATATTCAATTTGTACTATTTTTTTCTTCCAAATAAGTTTTTATATTTACCCATGCTAACAATCTACAGTAAACTTTAAAAAAACATATTTGTACTTAAAGTCGTGTTGTAAAGTGCTAAACTTGATGAAAAGAAGACTACAATGCCATGATTGACTAAAACATATTTCACGCTCACATTTTGGAGCACTAAGTCATACTACACACATCATTATGCAGTACTACAGGTCCCAAGCCCAACTGTCCTCAGGTCAAAACACAGTGTAATGGTTGTCACTGGTGCTGACGATGTCACTGTTGCACTCCAGTGATTTGAGCACCAGCTCCAGTGCTGCTTTGCTCACATTGAGGCTGTGGCGCTGCCTGACGGCAGACAGAATGTGCAGGATGTGACAGCCCTTCTCTGAATCTATAGACACAAGAAAGAGGAATAAAAATATGTCAACACATGGGTGGTTACAGTATGCAGCCATGGAAACCAAGGTTATGTGGAGAGAGAGAGAGAGAGAAATCAAACCATGTTTTTTAAAGATGGAATTTTCATTTTTTTAGTTGTGATGTCTTATTGATTAGATTTCATTTTTACAATCACCTTCAGTAAAACATTTTTAAGTTCAGCTCGTTAGTTAGAATAACATTTGGTACAGTAGATGTGATTGTAGTGCTGAATTTGTTTGTGACAAGCAGTTGAAAACTGTTATTCTTGATTACTCGATTCACCATAATCACACAGATGCCATTCCAGTGACATGGAGCTAAGGGTGGGAAGCTCAAAATGTTCCCCTCTCAATCCATCAACAAATGAAAAGTATTTTCATACACCAGTATTTACCAATATTTAAGTCACACCAGCTTGTGTTATTATTCAACCAATTCCTAGCTAACATTACTGTGACATGGAAATGATGCCTTTTTCTACTTATAACTTTAACACAGCATTACTAACTGATTGAATGCTAAAATAAGGTGACAGCTAATATGACAATTTGCATGAAAAGTCAGGAGGGACATCGGGCCGTATTGAAAGTCATAACATTCTTAATAACTTATTTTGTTGATTTTGTACTGACTGCTAAGTCACAACAGCTCACCTCACCATTCAACTAATTCCTTGCTAGCATTAAATTCAGTTCGCTAGAATGACCTATAGGAGTTCAGGTCTTATTGTATGTTAATATATAACACTATCAGATAGTAATGGATGCTGACAAATAGCATAAATGATAATAGATGGTGAAAATCAACATCATGCTTGATAACGCGTAATGAAACAAAAGCTAATTCGCAACAGCTAGAAGTAGCATCAAACCATAACTAGCTAACGTAACTGTTAGCTAGCTGACGTAATAGGAGTTTGTATGAATTAACGTTAGCATGGAAGTGGTTGAAAGAGAACGCTGCTCTCTAAAGGTTGAACATTTGTTATTAAATATGTTTTCTTAAAGGCTTTATATGTGATTTTTTGATCCAGCAGATGTCGCCCTTGAGCACCATCATGAAACCAAAACAACTCGCGCTGCATTGTTGTGTTAGCATGCTAATGCTAGCGATCTTTATTAAGCTCATATCTTCACACTGCATGTAAATTTACCTGAAATGAGCGTGATCTAGAAACACAGTTAAGCAGTGAGTACAGTATGTTATTCTTCTTTTCTCTAGTCCCTCAATTAAACAACTTTTATACACGAGGGGAGGAGTTAGTCGCTGTCCCGACGATGTAAACAAACTGAAGATAGGACTCTGAAAACTCTGAAAACATCACAGACAGTGGGACTCGGGTGTTACACCCATTGTAGACAGTCTTGACTCACAGAGTTATTTTCAGAGGATATACTTAATTTCTATTATATTTAAGTGTGAAAAATCACATAGAAAGCCTTGACCAGAAAGATGACCAGATGTCCCACTAGACTATCTGTTGTTTAGTTTGCTTATTAATTGAAAGCGAATAAAATGAAAGCAATTTATCCAGTTCTCAAGCTTTGTTTTACAAAACTAGATTTAAATGAGCAACCAATTCAATGATGATAATTACTACTCAAACACTCACAGAGAGGTGTATCGTGAATTAAAGCTCAAGGTCAAAATGAACCAAAAGTTCCCTTGTATAATAAAAAGAAATGTCAAGTTTCCTTACATTTCTCCCTCCTCGAGTCTTCCCTTATAATGTCTTTGACTGCCATGAGTAGATCTTTGTCTTCTGCAGTCACCTGTTGTTTGAACACACAATCAAAGAGAAACACATCCAAGATGAAAGCTCACAACAATTGCTCTCTGAAGCGGGAGGAACTCTTTTCACATTTCTCTTTTGTTTCTCACATGGTAGACTTCATCCTGGGATTTGACTTTGCGGTACACGATACCCTCATCCTGTAAAACCTGAAGGGCCTCCTTCAGAAGATGGCGTAGCTGCTGACATGAAGACGGACCCGCCACAGACTGCTTGATAGGAATAGAAAAGCATTTTAGTTATGGCCATTAGCTTTTTAAACTTTAAAAAAAATAATTTGCACATGTCCATGCTAGAAATCCCATCCTGGCTGTCTTCCTTTATTCTATTCATCGATCTTGACTAAGGAGTATGATTCAATACAGCCTGGTATTTGATTTTTGTATTACACCGCACCATCACACATCTTCAAAAAGAAAAAGGTAACCACACTTTTGTTCTGGCTTACCTGGTCTGCTGAGGCTGTTTGAGGCTGGCTGGAGATCAGAGGCTGCAGGAGATCCTGAACATCATAGGGTCTGAACCTGCTCACAGACTTCTGCTTGACAAAATCCTTGATGATATTTGTAGCCTTGCTGAGGGGATTGATGGCTACGCTACTGGGGGAAAAAACAGACAACAAAAAAACAGAACTGAATACAATTTGTTCTTGTGTTTACCTATATTTTGTGTCCTTATTAATAACTCATAGTATCAGTCTTTTTTCAATTCATAAACTAGTCAAGGGTCATTTAATTATATTGATGACTACGACCTACTCTTCATTTTTAACTAAAAAACTACTGAAATAATTAAACATTTAATTTATAATTGGTTTAATGTTTGACTACAAAAACTCACTAAAAGCTTTTAATCAGAATTAATAACTGCAGTTTGTTACCAGTTTTCTCAGCAGGAACACAAACGATCAAGTGGAACAACAGTTAAAAGTGATGCTACATTTAGGTGGAAACCTACAGTAGCTATCTACAGTAGTTGCATTATAACATTAGAGTAAGGAATCTTGTTAGATCTTAGTGCTGCTTTTGACACTATTGACCACCAGATCCTATTATACAGACTAGAAAATTTACTTGGAATTACAGGGACTGCTTTAAGTTGGTTTGAATCCTATTCATCAGACCGATCTCAGTTTGTACATGTTAATGATAAGTCCTCTATGCACACCAAAGTTAGCCATGGAGACCAATGGTCAGTGATTGCTGATTAACGGCTTGCCCCCCCTTGCTCCCTATCCCTCTTCCTGCATTTTATCCCATCTCTCCCCCTATCCCCTTCCAAGCCCGGTGCAGTCTGGGCCTGTGAAGGCTGTTTCGTCATGAGCAGGGGATCCAGCCGAAGATTTCTGCCTTTTAATAAGACAGCTTTTTCTTACCACTGTAACTTTTGCTGCTTTGCTAAAGTGCTCATGATGGATAGGCCGGATCTTTGTAACATAACAATGAGTAAGGTCTTTTACCTGCTTTTTGTAACATAACAATGAGTAAGGTCTTTTACCTGCTTTTTGTAACATAACAATGAGTAAGGTCTTTTACCTGCTTTTTGTAATGTTAACAGACAAAGAGTAAGGTATTTTACCTGCTTTTTGTAAAGTGTCTCGAGATAATACTTGTTATGAGTTGACGCTATACAAATAAAAATTGATTGATTGAAGGGATGATGGTTTTTACCCGGTTGCATTTGGTTGCAGCTTGAATGGTTTGTCATAGCACTGTCTGTAAAGCTGAGGAACCTCCATCATCCACGCTATCTGGACGGCCATCACTGGGTCGTTCACTTTATCTGGAAACATACAGAGACACGGATACATATACACATGATGAACAGGCAGAGGTTGTAGGTGGCAGGCACTGAGAAATAAAACATGTGCTGTGTGTAGTTGTGTGTATGTGTGAGACAGAGAAGACACATGAAGGCCATCATAGAGTGGGACTGCAATGCTAGGATAAAGAACGCCCTTGGCAGAAACTTAGTGTGTGGGGGATTATGTGAGTAAGTGCATTTTGTTTTTGAGCATTTACACGTTCTCAGGAACCACAGGATGCACACACACCACACATTGCACTTTGACACCCTGGACACTTTACACACTGACACTTTACACTGTTACATTATTCTATATTTTGTATATACAAATAATATATTTTTTAAATTGTACATTATATTCTATTTTACTGTATTTATGTGTATTAGTAATTTGAGTGTATTGCATGGCTTCGCAGAACAGTCTTTACATTTCACTGCACATCTGTATGAGCATGTGACAAATAAAAATCTTGAATCTTGACTCTTGACTCTTGAACCATTTGTTAAATGTTGGTATTCTTGGGCATTTGGTTCACACCAGTTCTATAAGGTTGCAAAAGCAGTCATTGCATCATAGCAATAATACCATCCCCAATATCTACAGATGAAATCAGAGTCCCTTTCTAAGTGTAACCAGTCTGGATGTGTTTACTTACTTTAATATTTGAAACAAATTGCTGGAAAATAAGTGAAAATGAATGCTTTATTGAACATCAGACTCCCACTGTGGCCCGCTGAGGATAGAACTCTGCACTCACAATAGACCGAAGCCGTGATTTCTCTCTGTTGCCTCGAAGTCTTCACCGGTCCCCTGACTCGGAGCAGCTCTCCAATCTCCAGGTGGCAACGGCTCAGCTGAGCCTGTCTCAGCTTCTCCAGCTCAGCGACTGGGCTGAGGCCTCCCAGAACCCCATCACTGGGTTTCCCCCTGGCTGAAAATGTAAAAAACCAAATGTGAAAATGACACAGGGTTCTGCAACAGTAATTAAATATATTATGTTGAATCTTTGAAGCACCGATTAAAGAATTTAGAGTTGTGTATAAAGCTGCAAAACCTAAACAGCTGAACTAATCAATATTACGCTTACTGTTTTAGATTTCTGACTTTTCTCTCGTCAGCTTTCTTAATGAAATCGCTTTAATCTTAACACTCAGTGCTGCCTGCCGAGAACAAACCAGCAGACAGACAAAGTAAGAGACTACATGGTGCACACTGTACATGAAATAAAGAAAGCACCAACTCAGAAAACCATACAATATCAAAGAACAATTGGAATTTCAAAGAACCTGAACATCACCTTGTGTTAAATATTTCCTCATTTATTGTGTCCTTATCTTATGTCCACATTTCTGCATTTACGTAAGTGGCAAAAGAATGTTGAAAATAATGTGGGAAGCATTTTTGAACCGTGTTTCACTTTTGAACACTTTGCATATTGTGACTCAATCCAAAATCCAGCTTTATGCCAAAGTAAACTGATATCTGAAGAAAACTATTTGACTTGTTTACTAGAGAAACAGGGCTCTCCAGTCTATTGAACAGGAAGAAAAAGCTACCCTGGCCTGAGGAATTTTCTACTATTAGTATCAATCTGCAAAAATGTTTTGTTGATGAGGCCCCAATTTGACCCGGGGAAACTTTTTATACCGGCAACACAGATAGACAGTGAACATCTACTTTTTCACATCAGTTAACCATTCGCTTATTAATGGCCGATAAAAAAATGATTTATACATGTAAAAAGTTACATACAGCCCCTTTAATGAAGATGATCACCCTTTAATTTTTGTTACCTGTAATGGAAAATATGAAAAGTGGTGTCTTCAACACGTTTGTATGGCCTCAAGGACACATTAACTGAATGTAAGCTGTGCTTTTGAAGGAAACTACAAAGGGAACCTTTAGCATCAAAATCTTACACTATAACAACAAAATGCCAAAAGGTTCTCACTTACTATTTTTTTATGTAATATATAGCTGTCTGATACATCTGACAAATAAACACAGATGATCACACTTATAAACAGCAGTTAATTTAGCTTATAGAATACAAATGTATAGCTTTGACTGTCATCTGATGACTAATACTGATCATGACTTCCAATGATGCAATTCTTTAGTTCATATAAAAGTAAACTTACATTTAGTAGGATCCCCCGCCTCCTTCAATAGGTCATTTTTCCAGCATAAACAGTTTATAACACCAGTACCATCGTCCACTGTGAGAGGAAGGAAAGAAACCAAAAGACATATTTGTATGTGAGGAAATGTATCACACACACACACACACACACACACACACACACACACACACACACACACACACACACACACACACACCTCAACTTGTTACTGAAATATGACCAGTGTTGTTGTTCATAGCAGGAAAAAGCTAGATTACCTCCATAACAGAAGAAGTCTTCTCGTTCTCTCTTGCAAACTACTGTACCCAGTACATCAACTTTGTAGATTGGGTGAGAGTTGTAGAAGTAAATACCTGTGAAGCATGGATGGATACAAAGATAGTTGACTATTCCCATCATAACAATTTGAAGGTTTGCTGGGAACTCAAAAAGTAAACAACCGAAATAAACTCTAGCTGGTGTTTGCATTTAACTTGGTCGTTTGTTTTGTGTTTGTTTAGTCACATGATAAGCAATACTAAGTTTGTTTGTTATTACCTGGCACCTGTGTGGACTCTGTCATCTGCAGTATATCTCTGACATACAACTTGGCGAAGGCACAAAAGATCGGGTCCAGTCCCCACAACATCGACGGGGGCTCTTCCGCTGGATCCGTCGTAGCTGCCTGCATTTCATTATTAACACAAAAGCAGATTATCAACTAGTCTTTCGAGCTGTTTTCCTTGAAGACGAGCAGACTCCAACAAGAAGCAAGTTAAGCTAGCAGCAGCCGAGTTTGTGTTGATCACGTGACACGTTGTTAACAAATATATATTTTTTTTTTATCAAAATAGCTGGTAATATTAATTTCCAGTTTGAACAGTTTTCAAACTTAGAATAAGGTATTATAAAAGCATACAGCTTAAAAAAATGAATTGTTATCAGTTTGTGTTTCGCAAAGGATTGTGGGACATGTAGTTTCAGTGAGTACACAAAGAATCCTGACAGCTTTGGGGTTTTTTTCGGGGACGCTGGTCATTGGATATGAGGGACAAAAAATAACTAAAGTATAAATAAATTAATAAATAAATAAATATTGGAAGAAATGCATACAATAATGTATAAATAATAATTAAATAAATGCATCAATAAATATATAAATGCTGAAAACAATACATCAATAAATAAGTAATAAATACACTTTGTTACATGAAAAAGGCTATTTATATATTTTTACATATTTATTCATTTATTAGCGTATTTCTACATCATCATCATCATCATCATCATCATCTTAATTGCCAGACTCAGGAGTCCATTAGAAGACATAAAAAACACGCAAAATAAAAACACAAGGTAAATACACATACAGACAGACAAAACATCATCAATATTATAAAAGACAACTGTACCAGTGTCGCCACAAGGATGACTGGTGTCGTACAGAACTATGACTGGGATTAGTCAACAGCATGATGATGGAATTCTGAGAATCCTTCAATCGGCAAAAAAATTTGTACATTAAGTTTCTCATAAGAGCCTGAAAAGTGTTAACTCCTGCATTACAAAATAACTCACTTGCACTAGTCCATCGAGGTTTTTTAAACAGTATTCTCAGGGAGTCGTTATATGCAAGCTTTTGTAAGCTTGCCTTTTTAAACCTGGCCCACAAGGGGGCAGTTTACAGTTATATATGTATCAATGCATACATTTACACATTCATTGAGTTATTCATTTATTTCCGTATTTTTACATTTACACATCTATTTATTTCTGTGTCCAGGTCCTAAGAGGAAAAGTATATTTGTAAATTTGCTTCTGTCTGTTTTTCAAAATTGACCAATCCTACTTCAGTAATGTTAGGACGGGCCACTTAATTTACATATTTACTTTTCCTTCTACAACATGGACACAGAAATACATAAATAAATATATGAATATATTTATTTATATATGTATTGATGCATTTATTTAATTATTTAATTATTTATACATTATTGTATGCATTTCTCCCAACATTTATTTATTTATACTTTAGTCATTTTTTGTCCCTCATAATTATAAAAACATACAGCTTAAAAAAATGAATTGTTATCAGTTTGTGTTTCGCAAAGGATTGTGGGACATGTAGTTTCAGTGAGTACACAAAGAATCCTGACAGCTTTGGGTTTTTTTCGGGGACGCTGGTCATTGGATATGAGGGACAATACAAAGAACAGCTAGTTTAGAGCTGTATTTTTAAACATGAAAATAGCATCGTTATCACTGCTGCTAGCTTTTTAAACCAGTTTTAAACTGTATGTTGTCTCCTGTACAGACGAGGGCAGCAGAAGACTGATTACCCCCCCCCCCCCCCGCCGCCGCCGCCGCCGCCAACGGTCGAGGGGGCAAGAAAAGAAAGAACTGAGCTGCGCACTATGGCTGCGCACCGACACTAAATCCGCTAGATTACTAAAACCCGTCCCACACCAAGGAAGCGATGAATGCTTTTTACCTTTTTTTAACGAATGTTAATGTTCGGACAAGCTGAGACAATTTACACCTTGAAGAAAACTAATGAAACACTCTGTGGAATACTTCTCTTTTGAAGGACTCGTCGTTTTCCTCTAGTATCTGGACTTACCAAAACAGTGTCAAAAGGCTAAGCTAAGTATGAGAGCGACACCGTGTTGACCAGGCAGATATTAATAACTAATGAGACACATGTGAATGTAAGGAAACTGAAACTGCTTTGCTATTTACAAGTTGAATTACTATTTTTAACTTGGATGAAGCAGGATTCAGTATGTCATTTTTCAATTTCCGTAAAATATTTAAATTGGGGGCCGAGAAGAAGAAGAAACAGTATGAACATGTGCGCAGAGATGAAGATCCAGAGGAAGTATGGGACATAATCGGTGAATTGGGAGATGGAGCATTTGGAAAAGTGTTCAAGGTAGGTCATGTCTGCTTTTTGGTTTCTCTGTGTAGAGGATATAGCCTTCTCCTCCTGTGTTTATTGTGGTGAAATGGGACAGCATTTGAGCCCTTTGTCTCTAAGCAATCCTCTTTTTTTGAAGACTGACATAACGTGATAGCAGGGCCACAGCACTGTTGTTTTGCTTTGTCCCACCCACCAGCTCCAAACAAAAACACCAGCCCTGTGACAGAGGTGGGGAGGTCAAATATTATCCCTTTCATGCTCAAGACTTCAATGGTGTGGGCGTTTTTCTCCTGGCATATACAAATTGTTGAGATTAAATATTTGGTACAAAAAAAAAAAAAAGAAAAAAAAAACAGTCATCTTGGAAATAAAATGTAAAAAAAAAAAACAGTATGATTGACCCCTGCCTTTATGTACACATGGCAGACATGTAAATGTCATCAGTTGTGATTAATGTTCTTAAAACTTTTCCCTGATCTCATTTGGCATAGTTGAGAGTTTACCATGGTTTGGTTGTTCAATGCATAGCAGACTACCTTCTCAAACAATAACTTAATGGGCAGGTATTTCATCATATATATATATATATATATATATATATATAATTGTTTGTTGATTGTTACAAGAATGAGCCAGTATTTGCTGACAAACTACATCGCATTTCTAAATCACTCCAAGAATAGTTTGTTTGCATACGTTCTGTGTTAAAAGATTTCAAAATGGCACTCACCTATTCCTATTGGAAAACATTTACACTCCACCATCTCCAATTTCAGGAAGTCTGTGGCTGACAAACGCAATTTACATGTTCTATTTTGTTCTTTGTTGCCAAACAGTATTTTTAGACTCTTTGAAATAGTTGGATTGACCCAAGATCCAGAGCTGGGTTTCCTTTGTGTCATTCTTAAATTAAGCCTAATCTTCACAGACAATGATTTAGCCATATGTTGCCAATTAATTTGCCTGCATTCAGAGAGCAAGGTTCACATAAAACAGACTGACTGTTCAATGTCGCTGTTTTGATACTTATTTTGAAACCTATTTGTGAATCAGCCAAAACAATGTACAGTTAAGATACCGATGAAAGTATGATGTGTATCATGCAAATATTCACAGAAAATGATTACCATAGACATGTCAAATTTTCTAGTTTGAGGCTGTCATGATTCATATAAACATAGAATAAATTACATTTTAGTATGGAGAAGATGTTTTTACCCTTTTCACCCTTTGTCTGCTGAGGAGGTTCAAAAATGACATTTTTGAAGGTGAAACCACTCAAGTTTTTCCTGGTTAACCTTATGATGTCTTATGATGTCAAGAAGAAAACCCTTTTAACAATGACGATCCAAAAAAAACTAATGTTAACTCTAGATTAGATATGTTAACAGTTGTTGCCGCCCATTTGACATGATGTCTGCCCGGCATGGGAGAAAAACCTTTTTTTACTTGAACCACTTCATTCAATTTGGCTTTGACCTACAATACATTCTTTGAAATCAGTTTTTCTTCACTGCTCCCAGATGGCTGATGCAGTCAGCAGCCGTTATAACATCCATGGTGGCAGAAACACATGGATTGCTGAGGATGGAAGCTGTGTTGTTTTGGAGCTGTGAAGAAGAATTGTTTCTGTTGAAAGAGTATAAATTGTTTGGAGAGACTGGCTAACTACAAATACCTCATAGATGTTTAGCTTTATCTGAGGTATTTTCAAAAATGGTATAGTATCAGAACAACTCTGCTTTTAAAGAAAGGATGAAGTAAAATAAATCATGATGGCACAAATCCTGTATCATCATTATTCCATGGAAACTGCAGTTCATGTTTGCCCTGCTAGAAACAGCAGAGTGCAAACAAGTAAATAACTAAGTTATGTATTCTGGGCAATATAACCAGTTGTAATATCTGCAGCAATGCATTACCAGGACAGTCCACACACTATTGATAAATATTGAAATACAAGCTGTCTGCTCTATTACTGAGGAGTAATATGAGGGGTTCAGGTTATATGTTTGTATGGCTCAACCTACAACACAGGCAGGTCACCAGGAAGTTGCTGCATCCCATTTCACAGCCGCAACTTCATTGAGCACATCCTGCCTGGCTGCAGAGAAGCCAAAACAAACAGGAGGAATTTCCACTTTAACAAGAAATGTCTCGTGTTCTGCAGACTCATTCAGACCTGCAGCAAAGCACACATTGTTGATTTGGTTGTTTTAGGCCTTATTAATGGTTGTTTGATGGGTTTTTTTAATTGTCGCTATTGCAGACCATGAGTCAAGACAATTTAAAGTCCAACATGAACCCTGGCTTTATCTAAGTCTTTAAGACGGCATTATAGTGCATGAGCTGCAAGCCCCCCCGAAGCTCACTGCTCCGCCTAATGTCCTTTGACATTTTACTAACGTTTACTAAAAAGAGACAAACTTTAAAGCTCACTGTAAAAGACGAGGAAGACTTTTAACGGAGTCCTCTGCACAGACTAGGTTCTAATACTTTTTTGTCATCCCACAGGCTCAAAACAAACAGACGCGGATCCTCGCTGCAGCCAAAGTTATTGACACAAAGACTGAGGAGGAGTTGGAGGACTACATGGTGGAGATTGACATCCTGGCCTCGTGCGACCACCCAAACATTGTCAAACTGCTCGACGCTTTCTATTTTGAGGGCAAACTCTGGGTGAGTACTGGAGGGTGGAGCTCTTTGGTATGATAAAGTCAAATGTGTTTACCACCTAAGCGGAGGGAAATATACACATCAACAGAAGTTTGCTTTAGCCACAAATAAGGCATGTCTTAAAGTTGTGTGTTAAATATCAAACAAAGGTATTTAGCATTTTGGCTTATTCAGCCTAAAATCTGGTCCAAAAAAGTAGCACGTGTATTTAAGTGAGTCTCTCTAAAATCACAGAAGAAATACTGTTTCAGTGAGTTATTTTGTGTAAGCTTTGTATTCTATTTGTCATGATCGTGGGTTTTTTTGGGGGGGTTCTCAGAATTGGCTTTCACAATGGCATTCAACTTCACTGGGCTGTTATTTAAAGATTTTTTTGCACCACAGGCGTGTTTCTTTTTCCCTCTGTTTTATTGATATCAAAGTGTTTGGCCAAAGTTCACACCAGCAGCAGCTTTCTGAGCTGTTAATCATCATACCAATTTATTATCCATCCTCTTTTAAAGAGCTCATTTTTGAATGCAAGTTTCTCTGTTCAAAACAATCTCCGAATGTTAGTATGTGCAACAACCTTCATTTGAGTGATGCTTTTTTTTATTCTAGAGAGACAAAAGCATGAAGCCAAAGCTTTTTAAGAATGAATATTTCCCAAATGATATACAGTAGGATGATGGAACATGGGTATGTACATTTAGTGGCTGGGACATGATGATGAGTAGTGCAATGCATGACTCATAAGTCAATACACAAGCATCTCTAAAGACTGTCAGGTCATTATGAACTCTCATGATTACCTGAGTATTTAATTTCAGTGCGTTTCATGGAGCGCTCAGCCCTTTTCCTCTTCATTGTCCTGTGAACAATGGCTCTAGCTCGATAGAGGCCGTCTGTTGATTTTAATCTGGGCCTGTGCGCCACCTGTTTGTGCAAAGTGAAGTTCCTCACAGAAGATTAAGTCATTAAATCAAAAGAGCAGAGAGTTTCTTCCTTGAGATGAAAGGCTTTTCCCACAATTGACCAGGAACGTCTGGGGTAGCTAACTGTATTGTTGTTTACTTGTGTCAATCAGTTGACCTTTTACTGTTTTATGCTACATTATACAACAATCTGATTGGACAGGAGGCATTCTGTGAGTGCTGAGATAGACTTCAAAATCACTTTAAATTCTCACTCTGTGTATCACTCTGCCTCAGCCTGTTTTGAATATTGTGAACCACAGTTGGAAATGAACTTTTTCGCCACCTGCCACTGTGTCTGGTGGATTCAAAAATCTACCAACAACTCTTTTTCTTTTTACAAGCCAATTTATTTAACCAGCAACATATTGTAATTATGTACAACAATTGAGTCTACAATCTCAATAGCAGCCTGTCCTCAAAGGTTGATTTAGCTACAAACCAACCTCGACTGATAGCAAAGATAACTTGTGAATTTTCTAAGTATATGAGCTTAAATGAGTCATCACACTCATAAAGCTTTCGACTGGAAAGTGTGAGTTTCATTTTGTGATCGCACATAATCCCATGGAGATGCAAATCTGTGTGCTTGGCTCAAGTGATATCATTGAAAACACTGACACGAGGAAGTGGAGCCCTGTGGTCAGTGAAGCCTGCAGGACCACCTGCCTCTGCTCATAAAGTCAGAGCACAACAAGCAGAAGACCGGGGTTCAGTTTGTGTTGTCTTCTGTCACAATTCACTCTGTTGTGTTACTTTTATTTACCCACCACTTTTGCTGGTAGGTTGAGCAAATTCACTTGAAGTTGGTGATTAACACATTAGACTTCTATTAGCTGTGTAAAAGTTCTGTCTTAAGTTATGGTGTAATGTTCACACTAAAGCCTACACTGAAACTAGTTATTTTGAAACTTAACTTGAGACATTGTTGATTGCTAACCAAAATAATATCGCAGAAATGACGTTTTAACTTCATGTGAGTAAACGGTGAAAAGCATTTTCCTAATGCACTGTTTGTTACATTCTGCCTCTCGTGCCTATTTGTCTCTTAACGGACTAACAGCTAAAAATAACTTCTGTTAACTGCAGATAATCCACAACCAGCGACAAACTAATCATCATGATTATGTGAAAACTACAGCCTACAACCGTAATCTACATCCAGTGTAAAATAACAGTGTCGTTAAGAGGTTCAATTGTCAACTACAACTCAAGGTAAATAAACCATTCTCTATTATTGAACAGATGAAATTAGCTCCCGCTAAAACAGGAATATAAACAATCTCATCATACGTTACATAGAGGTGTAATTTATCATGTTGAACGCAAACAGCCAGTAAGAACTCAGTTATTCCACCTTTCAAAACTACATCAGGACAACCATATTGTATGGAGGACTCTACACCTGCTAAGAGGTAGGTGTAAAATTAAAGGTGTGACTTGTGCCTACGTTAGAACTATCTCAAGTCAACATTCAATCTAGGCTACGTTTGAATTTAAGCCTGGCTCAAACTGCAGGATAATCGGGCCGATTTGAGCTCTGATTCTTCCTTCCTGACAATCGCAGGGTCCGACTCAAGACTGTTCGGACCCGATAATCTGCTCAGATTATCTTGTAGTGTGAGCGGTACAAAGATCCAATCTTAACGTCCCCGATCTGCCCGGCAATCGTCGGGGACTTCCCGATTTATTTCAAACATGTTTGATATTTATAATTTAAAATCTTGACGATTACGTCATGAAAGGGCCCGGCAGAAATTGTTTGTGACTACAATATAATCACGAGAGACAAGGGGGACTGTAGTCATGGCGACCAGCGGCAGGACGCAACCCGGTGTTTTTTTTTATTTTACGGTACAGATCATCAGTGCAGCACTTTTCTGAAACTTATCCATATATCTATTGTATCTACTTTCCTTTATCCTACAACAACTTCCACTTCCTTCTCTTTCACTAACCGGTGTCTGTTGGAGTTTTCAAATGAAACTTGATTAATAATTGTCAACGCTCCGTCCCGATGTCACTCGTACAGTGTGAGCTCTCCGGCCGTGCCCGACAATCAGGTCGTACAGTGTGAGTACAAAAATCTCAAGGTCTGGTCGTCGTAAACGATTCAGTCGTACAGTGTGAGCTGTACAATACAAGCGGGGAGAAATCGCACAGTGTGAGCCAGGCTTTACGCGTAGCTAGTGCAACCTGGTACTGTGGTAACCATGGACACAAAAAAAGGAGCATGAGTGTGAGAGTGTGTTTGGGTTGCTTGGCAACAGTCAAATTTCAGTTAAGTTGTTAACTGGTTGAGTTGGTGGAGCAAAAAATACTAATCTGTTGTGGATTTTTAATATTTACTATGATTTTGTGCTTGTTTAACTTTTGTATAAAAGCAAAATCTAACACGAGGATGTTTGTCTTTGACACTCGACCTGCAGCCTCCTGCCTACAACAAAGTCCCAGCAGTGCTGATAATCAGTTCATCATTCCCTTTCATGTGATATTGTTTAAATAAGTTGCACAGCCACAGTTTGTAGGCTGTTAGGTTGCTTATATTGTCATCCTTGATGGGCTGTTACACATGTAGATGAGATCCTTTACACTCGTACATCCATCCTTTCTATACCAAACGGATTAATTTAAAAGATGTGGTTCACAGTTCTCTAAAATCTGGGTATGTTAAATAGAAAAGTCGGGAGGGGGAAGCTGCAGCCCAGGCCTGATGTTCTGCCCTGCCTCCCTCCACTCTGACAAACCACAGTGAGGGCCATTGTACAAGAGCCGGGCCACTATAACAACAGAACGCCTACAGTGAAACACTAGAATGGTCTGGTGTTGAATAGATAAGACTGGGACTTGAGAAATTGTATGTCTTGTAAGGGCTTTGTTGTTGTAAGTAAAACAGTCTTGAAAAGCGAATCTGAATAATAGAATCCCATTGAACCCGGGGAAAAAGTATTTTTTTTAGTTTCATTATCTCAAAAGTTAATATTACTTTGATCGATTTGAATACAGACTGACCCTGACAAAAGGTTAAGCCTTATCAACGACATTCAGTTTCTCAATGGTTACAAAATTGCAGAATTGCAGCTCTACTTCCTGTTCCATAATGTGCAAGATGTGGCCACATGTTCTTCAAATCTCAGTGTAAAAGACTGAATTAAACCCTTTTCACACATGGAAATCTCCTGAAAAACTCTGGAGATTTGGCTACCCAGAGGTTCTTTAGGCTATGTGTGAACGCAAAGAGCCGCGTTTTTTCGGCCAGACCCCTAGTTTTTTTTCCACAGAAAATCCAAGTGAGCTGATGTCTGAACGTGGCAGAATATACTCCGGAGATTTCAATTTGAGCCAATAGAAAGAGAATGACGTTTATATATAGTGACTGTTTAAAGTGTCTGCACCCGACCTCTACGATCTCCGTGCTCTAATTAAACGTCTGCATTCTGTTTTCTGTTCCTCAGTATGTTGTTCTCCTCTCTTTTGTGGATGTTGTCATTCCATTGGAATACACATAGCATTGATATAAAGACAAATATTCTCATTATAACGTTGTGTAGTGGACTCTGTTGCTTCAGCCGCTACTTCAGCGTTGTTTATTTATGTAAACATCTTACCACAGGAAATCCCCCCTCCCCTCTGACAGGTAAAGTCCCCCCCCCCCCCCCTCCCCTCTGACAGGTAACAGGTAAAGTCCCCCCCCCTCCCCTCTGACAGGTAAAGTCCCCCCTCCCCTCTGACAGGTAAAGTCCCCCACTGTGAGGAGCATATGTGAACGACTAGGTCGGAGAATCTCTGGAGAAGTCCTCCTGTAATTATCTAGATATTATCCGGAGTGCATATGTGAAAACAGCTTTACAGGGTTTCTTCACAGCATGCAGCTGTGTGCATATGATTTGTGTCGTCTACTGATCTAGAAAAGAACGGGGCGAAAGACTGTATTGAAAAATATAGACTGTTGCCCCTGTTCAGATCAAAACGAGCAAGTTGAGTTTGGAGATGGATTTATGGAAGTTATGAATGTATTTAAAATATTTTTTCCTTACCTCTACTAATACTGCCATGATCTCGTTAACAGAGATGTGAAAAACCAGGAACTCTTATGTTTCATGTAAACATCTTGTCCTGAATAAGATAAATGTAGTAACCCTAACCCTGTACTTAAAATTGTGATACTAATAAGTATGTAAACACAGCCCCTCAGCTCCAGATGCTCTACCTTACTTACTTCCATAATCATACCCATGAAGGCGCTGTGTCCGTAGATCTTTAATCCTGCTTACAGAATAAGGCCTCTGGCAGTATATCTATCTAGCCAGCTACCTAGCAGCTGTGTCAAACCTTTTTTCCACAATGTGGCCCCAACTGGGCCAATCCTCTTACATCAACAGCCATGCTGAAAGCTCCTAAATGCCTCCAAGGGCTCAGTGTTTCATTCACACCGGCTGGGTGGAGGTTCATTCTCAAATTGCCTAAGCTTAGTTAGTAAACAGGGAACGTGATAATGTTGAGTCCATATGAGTTTTGTTCATGCACAATGAATGTTCCAGCAGAAAAAAATGCATGGATGTATAAAACACTGCTCTCTGGATCTGAGAACCATCCAGACCCTCACAATAGATCTGAAAGTGATGGGGGTCATTCAGAGCTTTTGTTCATAGAGGGACCGCTCTCACCTCTTTGAAATGAGTTTTGTAGCATAGCTCAATGCTAATTGTTAAATCATAGAGGTGTCATGGTTTTTATTCTTATCGTTTGCTGTAATTGGGGGAAATTAGCTTTCAGTTTTGGTCAATGAAATGAAATCAGGATTAATTCACACAGCTAAGCCTAAACAGACAAGAGGCTGGACATGTACAAAACAATGCTCTGAAAAACCGAATGAGGTCCTCATTTAAAAGTTTGTTGTTAAGAAAATACTCTTTAATGCATTGTCTCACGGAGGGGGAAAGGTATGAAGACTCATATTTGATTCTTAGAATTGTCATCATTGGCGTTGATGAAGGCCTAGAACTGAAGCGCGTCCGTTGTTGTTTTGTACGCTGCTCTTGCCCAGATAAAGGAAACTTGAAGGACTGACTTTTTTGTTGCATTTTAAGTCTTGTTGTGGTCCTGCACCTGGGACTGGGGGAAAAAAAGTAGTAACCTTCCTGTCATACAGAGCACAAGTGAACACTTAACTTAATATCTTTATATTTGATATGGTACATATTTACACTCGACAATAAATAATATTGTCGAGTGATCTCCTTTTTTGCTGTTTTTAACCGTGATACGAAAGTCTCACAATTCTTAGACTGTCAGTGTGACACATTACAAATACTCTTTCTGTGTGTGATGCACCTGGTTTTCCATAAACAAATACCCATGTTGAAAATGCAAAAAAAAAAAAAAACAACACATTGACTCTGTCTTTCTTTTTCCCTTCGTTTGCAGATCCTCATTGAGTTCTGTGCAGGAGGGGCTGTGGATGCAATCATGCTAGGTGAGTCAGCATTTCCTATTTGCATACAGGTTGTACCTCAGTGCAGCAGTAAAAAAAAAAACAAGGTCAAACTTCACAAAAAATGTCCCTGTAGACCACCCACATATGACAGTCTTTATTCATCAATACACCAAGTGAAGCTTATCCCTCATTGCCGTCTATGATTAGATTGTATTAGTGAATTCCTGGTGCAGGAATGCTAAGCATGTGTTTGTGTGACCCTCATCCCCCTGCAGAACTGGAGAGAGCCCTGACAGAACCTCAGATTAGGGTGGTGTGTAGGCAGACTCTGCAGGCCCTTGTCTACCTCCACAATAACAACATCATCCATAGAGACCTGAAGGCTGGAAACATCCTCCTCACGCTGGACGGTGACGTCAAACTGGGTAAGGGGCAAAGTCATATCCTACTGTCAAGGCCACAAAGCACATCCTTTCTTTTTTCTAGCTGGGTAGCTCCAAAGGTTTGGCATTAAAACAACCCTGTGCATGGATTACATAAAAAACATTATTATTATTGTTATTATTATTATTATTATTATATATCTACATTCAAATCTGGAATATAAGTTGCCTGGTATATAAGACGCAGTCTGACTTGAGAGGTTTCCCAGAGAGAAAAAAGGTTTAAACTGTCTACCTGTCATTATGATTTCTTTCACTCATTTAACATAGGAGTCTTTCAATCAAAAGTGTGCTCCACAAGGTTTATTTACTGAACAATATAGTAAGGATTATGACATAATGAGGGGAAAAGATATTGAAGTCGTGCAGCCTGTCTGGTCTGTGTCACAATGTTTCCCAGCACAGCTTGCAATACACAATGGATGGGGATGAATATTCAATCGCAGGTCCCGTGAAGAGGGTGATGGTGGCGTCTGCACTCGTGGTTATGACAACATGTGTGTCAGGCAGCATGTGGTATATTAGTCACACTGGAGTATAAGGCAGCACACTTTTTCTCAATGAAAAAAAGGTATTAAAAGTGTGTCTTATACAGCGGATTTTACGATTTTATCTTTTTAACAACAGAAATAACTCAACAGCCCCTTCCAGCTCTCCATCATCTAAATTGTTTATAAAAGGGCAAGACACATTTTCCACTTTTTAGATCTTGTACATTTCAACTTGTACCTTTGAACTGAAATGAAGGATTTTAGTGACTGGACGCCTGAAGTGTTGAGAAAAACAATCTAAACTAATCTCAGTAGCAGCTTGGCTCGCAGCCCTCCTCAAAAAGCCTCAGAGAAACACAGATTTTTAACATAAAAGTGCTTTGTTATATGTGACCCTGTTTTATTTACTGGAAACTAAAAAACAAACAAAAAAAAAGAACTACAAAATGATTACTCGAGTATACGCTTTAACAATGGGAAGAGTAATCAATTAGAGAAAATGTTGCATTTCTGCACCCCTACTGGAAACATTTGTGCTGGCGAGAAAGAGACTTTTCTTTTTTTATAATTCCGCTCCAACACCATGTGGTGATAAACACTAAAGAAATCTTACCCAAAAAACTGAGCTAACTTCATAATGAGCCCCTCAGCATGCAGACACTCTGGCTTCATCTATCCACCAAAGAATGTTAAAAAAAGTGACATTTTTTATTATTAAACCATTTTTTATTTGGTTTTTAATGTGTCAATTTTTTAAGTAACATCACCTGTGTACCTGCCGATTTAAAAAAAAAAAAAATAAAAATAAATAAATAAATAAATCTTAACTTCCATACACATACATAAATACTAAACTTAAGACAAAAAGGGACTATCTTGCATAGAACTTAAAATGTAATCAATGAATTACTGCTTTATTCCAGATTTGTTTTTCTTTATTTATTTGCTTGAAATATTTCAGACATGTAACATTTGTGAAGACAATGTAGAATATGTTTCTAAACTTTATCTGTAAGTGTTACTCGTGAGTCATGGTCCATCTGGTCTCTTCAACCTGTCAGAATCTATTTGATTGCACCCCTACGTTGGTTATGCCTAATGAGCACTGGTATATAGGAGAAGTGGATGAAAAGAGAATCCATGTCATCAGGGACATACAGTGTTTGAGAAAGTTCAAAGCAAAGGGGGATTGTTTTGCCCTGCAGGTGATGGCTCAGTCATGACATTGTTATAGATACAAAAAGGAAAATCACTCATTAGTTCAGGGTCTAGAAGTGTATGTCTCCATGTATTCATCTCATTATTCCTCATGAGTGAACTTCTGGAAATGGCTCAAGAATGATCTGTGCAGTGATACAAATCGTTCACACATGTATCCTGCGCATTCAGATATCTAAGTTGTTTTCATCATTGACACACAGATGTGTAAATAAACTGTGTGAAGCTGAGCGATCATGTGGTTTCATATAGCTCAGAGGCTCAGAAGAAAACTAAAACTGCTTTGATGTTTGTCAGCACTTGTTCAGAGCTCAGAGAAGTCACATGACTGTTCTCATGACATAAACTTCATGTCAAGAATCTTGTGCCTCTATGATGCCTTGACCAGGGTTTATTTTGTTTCAGTTTTTTTTTTGTGACGGGACATAAACGGAAGTATTGAAATATGTAACATTCAAACTGACCTGACTCTTTAAACTGATTTAACAATTGAAGTATTTGTGTGGAAAAATAATCCTAAAGCTGGAAAGGGAATGCTTGTGAAATTGATCTAGTTATGGTTTCCTGTCGTGTGTTCTCTCGTGGAGCTGTAAGTACTTGAGGGGCGGAGTTACTGTTTGGATCTAAAATAAAAACATGACAGCTAAATTGTTCATTGAGCACTGACATACAGTACATCTTGACGTTTACAGTTTGTTTTTCCAGCAGCAAATTCTGGAGTTTAAAGGGGTGTACTGTACTATTGTCTTAGATTTCTTAGATTTATGAGGGTTGATCCAAAATGAACAGTCTGATTGAATTCAGAGAGTCACACTGAATCCAAAGATTTTTGTAAAGTAAAACTTGGATGAGGAGGAGGAAGAAGAATCTTTAATGCAAGTAAAAAAAAATTTGGGTAAGACCAGGTCTTTTTTCAAACAGTTTGAAACGAGAACGATCTCCATTCAGCCAACATCACTGTTTCAGAACTCTGGATCTCCTTCTTAAAGTTCAAGGTCTGCAGATGCAGATCTTACTTATTCTTACAGATTTTGATACACTACATTTGTTTTCCCTTTGGCAAGAGTCACGTTCTAAATAAATGACATATCAGTTAAGGATGCAACGTGAATAATAGGAACCAATCAGCAAGGGAATGTGGGTGTTTGCACTTTGTTTCCAAAAGTCTCAGATTCTGAAGGTACACATGAAAATGCAACCCCAGAGTTTTAGGACGGACTCTCACACTAGTCAATCGGTATAATGCCTAAGCACGTTTCAACCTCAAAGTCCAGTTCATTTGACCAGCATGAGTGCTTAAGCATGGTACGGGACCACTGGGCCTAGTATGAGTTCTCCCTGAATGGTCAGCAGTGTTCTCAAGTGACTCAGTGTTTGGGCTCTATAACACTGGAGGAGTTTTTTAACTTTTGTCAGCTTTAAAGAACCTCTTTTGCTTCCTGAACTGTATGTTAAACCCTCGTCTCCTTTTGTTAACTGTGTTGATAAGCAGGCAAAATCAGTGGGCCACAGCAGCTGACCTACAGTTGTTTTAGGAACATTAGCATATTGTCCCTGCCACATTTGAATCTGTTGAATGTAAATTTAAAAAGAACTGTGAGGGGCTGATGCTAAACTCTCTTGAAAGAAACATGAAAAAAATGAACACATTCAAAGATTGTTTTGACCTGCTCCTCAGATTGTACACAAAGATTCGTTCACAGCAGATGCAGTTACGTAGCTTACTTAGAGGGGTATGAGTCACTGCTGGTGGATGTTACAAGCTCCGAGCATCAGACTACTAACATTCTGTCCAAAGACATAACACATTACACATGACACACAAAGAGGGGCTGTGCATGGGCCTGCAGGGCCAACAATGAGGTGTTTCTCACATATGAGGACATTGTGCAAATGCAGAAAGAAAGAGTGTCGGGGAGAATATTTGTTCTGTGACTGTGTTAAAAGTAACACTTCAATTCTGAATGAGAACACTAATTACATTTCTTGACTGACAGGCACTGTGAAGTTCCCCCACAGAGCTAGCTAGGAGCTGATTTCACCTCTGCTGTCTTCTTTTTGTTTCTTACTTTAAACCAAACTTTGTGTTTGTGTGCACATGTCTGGACAATAAATGGTGACAGTGTTGATTTTGTGGCTAATCTTTTGTCTCCAATCAAATGTTTTCCAGCTGATTTTGGTGTATCTGCAAAAAACACCAAAACACTACAGAGGAGAGACTCTTTTATTGGAACACCCTACTGGTGAGTGAACTTGGATTTTATAATTAACTTTCAATATTTTTTGTCATCTTTCTTACAGAAAGTCTTTTTTTTTAAGTTCAGCATACAGTTTGCCTCCTATCTTTCTTGAACATAATGTAATCAACACTCCTTTAAATGACTTCTCTCCTTTCCTTTCAGGATGGCTCCAGAGGTGGTGATGTGCGAGACCTCAAAGGATCGTCCCTACGACTACAAGGCTGATATCTGGTCCCTCGGAGTCACCTTGATTGAGTTGGCGCAGATTGAGCCACCCAATCACGAGATGAACCCCATGAGAGTTTTGCTGAAAATAGCCAAAGCAGATCCCCCAACCCTGATGCAGCCGTCACGCTGGTGAGTCACTCAGTAAATCTCTCCTCCTGTCGGGGACAAGGGAGTAGGTACCGTGAGGTTCCTGGCTTCGATGGTCATGCATTGGTATTATTGCATTTTGTATATTTCTATATTTAAGTCTATTGTTTTTCACTTCCACTCTTAAGGTCGCCAGAGTTCAGTGATTTCTTAAGGCGGTGTCTGGACAAGCATGTTGACAACCGATGGGGTCCTTCACAACTACTACAGGTAACTTTCACATGGACTCAGGGTGGTTTCACATCAGGGACCTGGGACCCAGATCAGAGTACACTTGACATCAAAGTCCAGTTCATTTGATCAGTGTGACCATACTCGGGTACAGTGCCTGATTCCGCTTGAAGAGGTGGTCTAGGGTACGACTCGTGTACTCAAGCCGGTCTGCTGAAGAGGTGAACACAACCGTTCTCAAACAAGGAAGTCAACCGCTTTATGATTTTCATGCTCTAAGATACACAGTAGATGTGGAAGTATTTAGAGTAGGGGTGGGCAACTGGTGGACCCCATCAACCCTCAACGTGGCCCCTCAGGTCAATTTTTACACATCAATTAATTGGAAACATGAAGAAAACATAGCAAAATCTGCCATGAAATCATGAAAACCAGAAATATGTCCATAATAATATTTGATCACTGATATATATTGCCTTAAGTTTGAAGACTGTAATCATTTTTGTATTCTACAATTCGGCCCTCTGGCAGTGAGAATTAAATGAATGTGGCCCTTGCTGTGACCAAAGTTGCCCATCCCTGATTTTGTTGTTGGTGTCTGAGAAATAACAAAAAAAATCCACAGTTAGCAGGATGGACTTAGCCAACGGGTGGTTGCCACGGTTGCGTCTACTTTTTTTGGCGGATTTGCAAATCCACTATGTGCATACTGCTGCCTGCTGTATCGGACTGTATACATACGCAAGTGTACTTAAGAAGTCCTAGAAAACCGAAACAAATCATGCAATTGATGAATTATTGGACAATCTTTTCTCGCCCTAGTTTTTTATAATTATAATAATAATATTTTTTTTATTAGAGTTATTGCTTGAAGGGTCCTTTGAAAATCACACACATCCTGCAGAGTAACAGAAAGAAAGAGAGATGTTCTGTGGTTTTAATAACCTTTATATGATGTCATGCCATTGTTTTGTAAGTGAGCATGCGTGGTGTATACATTCCAAACCATTGATTGCTACGGTTTTGATGTGCTAAGTTCTTAACAACAAGCCTCATGCACATGCAGCTCAGCTTAAGTTATAAAATGAAAGCAGCAGAGACCAGAGGTGTAGGTGTGGGTCTGTGGGCGGGGAGTACTGGTGTAAGGTGAGCAGATTAAGTAGCGGTTGTTAGTAAACACTAAAATAAAGTGCGGAGTAGGACTCAAGTGGTGAAAAATGGAAATTGGTAGAAAAATAGGACTATCTTATCTTTCAAATTGCACCACAATACTCACATCTATTAAAGAAAAGTTTTAAATTTTAAATTGTTCCAAACTTCTCATCAGTACTCACTGCACAGAAGCCGGTCACTAAAAAGAAGCGATAATCTTGGCTCACCCAACATCATCTTACCTGCCTGCTGTCAGGACTGTGTCAGGGACTGCACCTTGTGTCCTCCTGCCAAGAATGATGCTCATCCCTCTTTGCCCCGAGCTGACGTCAGCTGTACAGGCTTTTCTTTTTCCATCGGGTTTAAGGTGCTCACCAGGTCAGAGCCTCTTACTTACAGACAGAAAGCAAGGACACACACACACACACAGACAGACAGACAGACACAGCCATAACTATGCAACGCTCCAGCTAAAGAATTGTGCAGCACAGAAGAAGACTCAATGGGCTTGAAAATACGGAATAGCGGTCTGCCTCCGATGAAGGTTTTGATATCGAAGAAGCTGCACATACTCAGACCAGCCATAGACTATGTCCAGCAGATTTCCAAACCTAAAAAGGTGAGGCTTTCAAGAAATGTCGATGCAGTTAGTTGAGTGTTGTCTTTCATAACATCCTAGTTTACTGACTGATGTAAGGCTTGATTTACTTGCTTGTTTGTTTTCTGGGATGTCAGACTGATATGTGAAACTTCCAGAGAGGAAGAGTGTGAAAGAAGGATTCAGGGAAGATAGTGTGGACTAATTTCACATTATTGTTTCATTGCATTAAAATATTTGCTTTGGTTTATCTTATCAACAAAAGAGTCGAAGAACATTTCTCTGAGGTCAATTCATGTCTCAGAATGTCAGGTATGTGATGTGAGTGAGTCTATGTGGTAAATGTTATAAAATCTGGTTTCTAATCATGTTGTGTAATAATCCATCATTTGCACAGCATCCGTTTGTGTCCAGCGTTTCGGACAGCAGGCCACTAAGGGAGATCATAGCTGAGGCGAAGGCTGAGGTTACCGAGGAGATCGAGGAGCACAAAGAGGAAGAAGAGGAGGAGGAGACAGAAGCACATCTGGTGTGTACACGGTTAACCAAAAAAACACTTTGAAATATTGTTTGCTTTGTTGAATATTAATTTACACTGATCCTGAAGTCACACACTACTCACTTTATAGTCAATATGTCATTTTGTAGGTGTGTCCAAATTCTGAGTGAGCTTGATCATACCATATATAGTCCACTCATTGTATCCCACAATGCATTGTGAAAAGTAGTGTACAACCCATGGTCACTATCCAAGCAATATCTACCATCATGCATTGCAGTTCATGGCTTTTTGCGAGTTGAAAGGGAGAAACACAAAAGCTCATGGAGAATGAGCAGCACAAATTAATATTTGGAGGCATTTTGATTGTTGAAACTCCTTTTATGAAATAAACTCTTCATGAAAATGGTTTTCAGATTTCAGAGTAACATTAGTTGAAGTGTTTTAGATGTATGTATTTTAAAAATTGTTTTGTGAAAATACCCACTGTATTTTATAAGGTATCAATATTATTCCTGCCGTTATTTACTGTTATTATTGTTCCTCAGCCAGTGTTAAGCTGCGCGTTTTAGTTATGCAACAGCAATGACGTCATTGTCAGCGTCCAGCGAGTGAGCGAACCTAGTGTCCAAAATGTTTTTAAAAATTAAAACTGAAACGTTTTTTGGCTTTTCAGTGTTGGTTTGATAAAATAATTTAACTGAGTATGTCATCGAAGGATTTTGGCAGTACAATTTGTTTGTTTTTTTCCAACAACAAAAAGTTGATTTGAAATCAATCAAGGCCTACTGAATTGCTGATCCAGCACCCCAAAACAATTTGTACATCAGCTCAGCCCCATTGTATTGTGTCCTTTTGAGAACCCACATTTCTGACTCTGCTCTTTTACTTCTTACTTCTCCCGTAGGGCCACAAACGCGCCCCCTCCGATGCCAGCGTTGCCAGCTCAGAGGATGAAAAGGTCCCCCTCTCGCCCTCCGTTTTGGAACCAGTCCCCGAGAAGGTTGAGCCAAGTCTGCCGGGGCCCACACCTACCAAGCTCCCCGTGGCCAACCATGTGCTTGACACAAGCTTTGTGGAGGAGCCTGCTGCCCCTGCTGCTGCTGCTGCTGGTAAACACACTCCAGTTGAGGATAGAGAGGTGGAACATAAACCAGCAGAGGAGAAGCTTCCAGAAGCAGAATTGGATGATGCCTCCCCGGACACAGAGATTGAAACAGGGGTACCTGCTGAGGAAATGCAAAACCTGGAGATAGCTGTTGAGGATGAAAAGGAAATTGACACTGCCGAGGTTCCAAGCAGTCCACAAACCACCACAGAGACCACTGAGCCTCCTCAGGAGGAAAAGAACGACGTCGGTGAGGAACCAAACACACCGGCAGATGAGGAGGAAGACCCATACAAGCATCTGAAGGTGTCAGTGACTCTTCCAGGGCAAGATAAAGTTGTCCCCAAAAAGGAAAATGAGGTGGAGAAGACGATTCCAGACAAAGATAAGGATGACAAAGAGAAAGACTCAGACTCGGGGAGTGGCTCTACTGCTGATAACAGCAGTGTGGACCTGAATCTGTCCATCTCAAGCTTTCTGTCCAAAACAAAAGAACCAGGATCTGTTTCCATACAGGTAAATCACTCAGTCCACAAATATCAAACACTGTATGACATCCTGCATAGATACAGGAAAAAAAGTAATACACTTCTTTCTTGTTTCAATAGGACACCCGGCGCCAGAAGAAGACGCTGAAGAAGACTCGTAAATTCATGGTGGATGGAGTTGAAGTTAGCGTGACTACATCTAAGATCATCACTGACAATGACACCAAGAACGAGGAGATGAGATACCTGAGGTATTCAGCCCTACTTTGCATACATCATGTGCATCAGTTTATGCAAATCTTATGTAAATGGTACCCAGGATCCTTAGCTCACACTGACTGTGAGGAGATAATCTTTAGAAATGCTGAACCTTTTTTTTTTTTCCCTCACCACCTTGAACCACTTTATTTTAAGTAAGACACATAACTTGTATTATTTCTCTCCTGTCCTCCAGACGCCAGGAGCTGAGGGAGCTGCGTCTCCTGCAGAAGGAGGAGCAGAGGGCCCAGCAGCAGCTCAGCAACAAGCTGCAGCAACAGAAGGAGCAGATCTACAGGCGCTTTGAACAGGAGACAACGGTGAGTCACTCTGTTCAGAAATGTCGGTGCTGAATCTGCTGACTTTTTACATTTTGGAGTATTATTTTTTTTGGCTCAAATGCATCTGACAACGCTTTAGATGTCTCTTAAAAGTCTCTGTAGGACAGTCTGCTGAGACCCCGGCTCTTTCACAACCATGCTATACCTTATCTCTCTATTTATGATATTTCATGAGATGAAGATGTTGATCAGTTTTCTGTTGTGTAAACAGATTCCCAAGCCAATCATGTCATATTTGTGCAATTAAGACAGCATGCAGGAGTTTGCTTGCAATTTTTGACAATTCCTTTCTTCGGGACCTGACTTTTAATATAGATGTCTTTTTTTTTAAAGTTTTGGTACTTTTTGATACCATCATCATTAAAATTACAGAGATCGTTATAAAACACGTGGTGATGTATGGAGAATGTTGACAACCTGACTCAGTAGTGATAATTGTTTTTGCGTTCACATCAATACAGCCAGTATTCAAAATGATCCTCTATACATTCAAACGACTGTAAAGCCGTTTACAGGCAGGCAGTTTGTCCAGGCTTTAATGGTGCTTCTTTGTTGGACTGTGTTGGATGTAAACCTGTCCAGATGTTAAAGGCTTTCTATGTGATTTGTCACACTTAAATATAATATAAATCAAGTGTATCTCTGAAAATAACTTGTGAGTCATGACTGTCTACAATGGGTGTAACACCCGAGTCCCACTGTCTGTGATGTTTTCAGAGTTTTCAGAGTCCTATCTTCACTTTGTTTACATCGCCTGGACGGCCGGCTGACTCCTCCCCTCGTGTATAAAAGTTGTTTAATTGAGGGACTAGAGAAAAGAAGAATAACATACTGTACTCACTGCTTAACTGTGTTTCTAGATCACGCTCATTTCAGGTCAATTTACATGCAGTGTGAAGATACCAGCATAATAAAGATCGCTAGCATTAGCATGCTAACACAACAATGCAGCGCAAGTTGTTTTGGTTTCATGCTCAAGGGCGACATCTGCTGGATCAAAAAATCACATATAAAGCCTTTAACTTCAGTGTAGAAGACTCATCTGAGGCTGATACTATCATGTACTGCACAAACATCCAGATGTTTTGATATCTTTGCCTTAGTAAATGCAGTGTGTTAATGTCAAAGATATCGTGTTAAGTAGCCTACAAAGGAATTCCTTTTATAATAACTACTGTGGCCAATGGCCGTCAAAAGCAACTGGAAAAAGATCTATTTTAAAGTCTACATAGTCTGCAACCTCTCAAAGGTGTATCATGTCCTAAGATCGTCCTATGTTGATGCTCCTGTTAATTGAATTCAATTCCAAAATGTTAATTATTTCTGGTTTTTGGAAATCTCTGAATAAGTCATCTTATTCATTATTCTTAAATATGGTCAAAGACTCAAGACTTAGACTTTGCTCATTGGACCTTATTTAAGGTTCTTTTCATCTGATCTTCTTCAAAATTGCCCTAAGACTTAAAACACATCTTTCACTTCTCCGATGTCTCCACCCGTGTCTATCAGAGTAAGAAGCGTCAGTACGATCAGGAGGTGGAGAACCTGGAGCGGCAGCAGAAACAGACCATCGAGAGGCTGGAGCAGGAGCACACCAACCGGCTCAGAGATGAGGCCAAGCGCATCAAAGCTGAGCAGGACAAAGAACTCTCCAAGTACCAGAACATGCTGAAGAACCGCAAGAAAGAGGTAAGCATGTCCACTTCATCAAGTTTTAGTTAGCTTTGGAAGCTTGTAAATGTTCTGCTTATGGTGGGTTGTTTTGATACTCGGGCGCACACATGGCCCTCTGATCTGTCTTATAAGTGCTTACATAACCAGCGTTTAGCTGCACAGAGGATTAATCAGTCTGCCTGCCACCTCTCATTTATTTTCTCAACTAGTGCTAATCTATTCACAGCTTTTGTCCTATTTGATTTCCATCTATTTCTCATGGCTACCTCCATATTGGCCAAACAGGAAGTTGAACTGTGTTATAAGCATGTTAAAAACACTATCATTAAAACATATTAAAGAGGATTTAATCCAGGCCCCACCAGATGAGGTAATGAGGGTTTATATTCCTGTGTTCATTTTGAAGTTTGATCTACTCTACCTGCCTCTCTCAGATAAACGATTGTGTTGGAACAGGCTTCAAACTGTGTGAGAGGAGCATGCAGAAAGCTATTCAACATTTTTATTTATTAGTCTATTTTGAATGTTTTTCTGACTTTATCTCTCCTCTCCAAGCCTTCCACCTACCTGAGGTTTCAGTGCCCACCTGGTTTTTAATGTGTGGTCAGAGTTTAGTGCAATATGTAGGAGGGTAATGTACAGTGATCCTCAGGGAGGGGCCCATGTTATGATTCAGTCTCTTCAGTTGTTGTCATGCACCCTGTGCAAGGTGCATGCAGGGTGACAGCGAAACCCTGTGTCGTAAATCAACACTTTATTATTCTTTGAAGTACACACCAGTGCATGCAAAAGGGTCAATAGCAAGAAGCTGCGCTTTCTGTTCTATGCTTTCAATAATTGTTTCATTTGGTCCCAAGAGATAAATATTTACTGCTGCAGAAGTTCTGTAAATGTTTATCTGTTTTTATTTTTTTTCACAATTGTTGTTCTTTAAGGAATCGGGACAGTGCTAAGAAATGGACAATACATTCACTTTAGTACTTTGCGTTGGGAAATGTTTCATGATAATACAACTTTTTTTATGTTGCACCTTTTGATACAGAGGGAGCAGCTCAAGGTGCTTTACATTTCAGTTAGGAAGCAGGTGAAGAAATCAAACAGAGAAATTGAAGTGCACATACAGTGTGATAAAAACCAAGAAAGCACATAAATAAATGATACAGGGGGGGAAAAGAGAAAAGGTTTTTGCTTAGAATAAAATCTGAATCAAAGGAGTAATAAAATAAAAGATAAGGCGCAAAATAATTAAATATAAACTAAAGGAAGGCTGGCAGCAGGTTACAGGAAATGTTGAAAAAAAAAAATGTTTTGAATTGTTGTTTGAAAATGTTCAGAGTTTAAATCTCCTAACCTTGGTGAAATAGGTTCATATTTCTAGTCTGTGGTGAAAGAGGTTTAGATATTCTAATCTGTGTCAAAGTTTGTTTAAAAACTGGTTACTGAGGATCTCATGGACGTTTGCAAAATGACGACCAATTAATAATGAAGGATGGTGCCAAAGCTTTGAGAGCGTATGCTAAGAATAATTCTGCTAAGCTTAGAAAATATAGCATTGTTTTATAAACATGCAGAGAGTTGAAAGCTTCAGAACTGTTGGGTTGACTGAGTACTACATCCCTACATCCCCGTGCAAAGGTAGGCCAGATGAATGTGACTGACACTCACGTGAAACGGCCTCCATCTCCACTCGTTGATGTCTGGTTCATCTCTTTAAACTGTGTTTAATCTGAAGTGAAGATTAGAGGACATGATTCTCTCTGTCTGTCAGGGCCTCACTTATACAGCACAGATTTCTCATTTGAAGTTGAAGCTTCACTGATCTGATTGTGTTTTGTCTGATTCTTTACATGCTGTGTATTTGTAGACTTACACCTGGACCTGTTTTCATCATATTTAAGTAATTACGATCTTTGTCATGCGTCATCCAGGAACAGGAGTTTCTTCAAAAGCAGCAGCTGGACCTGGACAGCGCTCTGAAGAAGATAATCCAGCAACACAAACACGAGCTCGCCACCATCGAGAGAGACTGCCTGAACCACAAGCAGCAGCTTCTCCGAGGTATGTTTGATATATGCATGTTGCTTTCATGTAATGTGGGATGGAAGGGGTTACTTAAGACAAATATGATGCACCTTGTGACAGAGTTTACAAGTTGAAAACCATCGATCAGCCTGACGGTATTTGGATAAACCTGCTACATTTCTATGAATAATCTTTAGTTTTAGATGGTGACACATTTAAGGGCCTGTATGTTTCTAACCAGACAGTGACCACTAAAATGGAAACAAAAGAACCTCACTTGGGTTACTCACTTCCCTGTCGGTGTCCTTTACTCTAAAGTATGCGTTACATTAGCTGTTGGAGTTTTTTTTTAAATCTCAGGTGTGCTTTCCTGATGTGTTTAGCGTGTTACAACATTGAAAGTAATCATCCTATATTTAGCGACTCAGATCAGCAGTGAACAATCTCTCTTTTGAGGCAGAATAAATTCTTCCCTTTATCCTTTCTAACACCGACAAAAGCTGCTTCAGCATGATTGCAGTGAGCAGCAGCAAGTTAGCAGTTAGCGCTTCTGCTGCTGCTGCTGCTGCTGGTACTTAATCCCATGCTTAATGTGCCAGGAGCAACACAAACAACACTTCTGAGAAATGAGCTGTGTACCAACTCATGGGAGGTTGGGACCCTGCTTCAGGAGCTTGTAAAGAGCTTTGAGCGGGAATAGAAATTGTGAGATAGTTGAAAATTAAAAGCTGAAACCTCATTAGCAAAGTTGATGTTGGTTGACATAAGTATCTGAAAAATTCTGCTTCTAATGAGGGAACTTTAGCTAACAACTGCTCCATCTAGTGTCTCTCTGCTGCATAACATCAAGTCAAGCAGAAAGTCGTAATTCCCCTAAAATAAACCTATGAATGATTCTACTGTGTGACGATTTAGCTTTGTTTTGTGTTCATTTGTGTGCCTGCTCACAGCACGGGAGGCTGCCATGTGGGAGCTGGAAGAGCGCCATCTGCAGGAGAAACACCAGCTGTTCAAACAGCAGCTCAAAGACCAGTACTTCATGCAGAGACACCAGCTGCTGAAGAGACACGAGAAGGTCCGTGCTGAATAAGAGCCAAAGCCTTTTTTCTTCCTCTTTTTTTTTTTTTTTCATTCAATCTGTCAGAATTTAGCTTCAACAATTAGCATAAAAAATGTATTTGGAAAACGTCGCACTGGAAGGTTACCTCCTTACGTGTTGTTCCTCTTGCAGGAGATGGAGCAGATGCAGCGCTACAACCAGCGTCTGATCGAGGAGCTGAAGAATAAGCAGACACAGGAGAGAACCAGACTGCCCAAGATTCAGCGCAGCGAGGCTAAGACCCGCATGGCCATGTTCAAGAAGAGCCTTCGTATCACCGGAGCAACCATCAGCGTGGAGCAAGAGAGGGAGAAGGTCAAACAGGTAACAAGCTTTATGGAGAAAAGAAATCAGCTGGAAAGCCAAAGCAAACACGGTCGCCTAAATTAAGAAAATGAAGAATGACTTGTGAAGCCTGATCATATCTTTGTTGTCCAGTTCGCTGCACAGGAAGAGAAGAGGCAGAAGAACGAGAGGCTCCATCAGCATCAGAAACATGAGAACCAGATGAGAGACCTGCAGCTGCAGTGTGATGCCAACGTCAGAGAGCTCCAGCAGCTACAGGTAGACACTTTCAAGAACATTGAACTTTACCATGATTGTAAAATCAAACATATAATGTTGCATTGAATGTACTGTAGAAGATGAATCCCAAAATGTGTGAACCTAAGCCTTTTTATGCATCTTTTCAGATTTAATATTGTCTCTTTGACAGGACAAATGTAATTGTTTCCTGTTACTTTAAAGGATCCCGCTCTTTAACAAAAAAAGTTCATCTCTACCCCCTGCAATAAGTGATTTTCTAACACATGGCGTCCCTCTGTGTCATTCAGAACGAGAAGTGCCACCTGCTGATCGAACATGAGACCCAGAAGCTGAAGGAGCTGGATGAGGAGCACAGCCTAGAGCTGAAGGAGTGGAGAGAGAAACTACGACCCAGGAAGAAGGTATTTGTTTATTCCGAGATGATTACTACCAGCCTGCACTGCACACATCGAAAACCGGACTCCTCCATTTTCAAGTACCCCAAGATTGTAGTTTTTATTGTGATAAAATCTTCTCACATTATCGTCCCTTCCCTTTTTTATGACCAAGGCAGTGATCTGCTCTGAGCAGGAAACAGTGTTGAGTGACCTGTTGTCCATCCACTAAAGTAGAGGAAATATCATTTTGAATGTGTCAGTGTTATGAAAATGGTTTGTTTTGTTTGTGATTACTGGTGTAACAGTTTTTCCTATGTTAATACATTATCTTTACTATATTAAAAAGTGTCCTTGAATATTTAAAAAATGATCCTATGAAATTAATTTGTGTCTGTTTGCATCCTTCAGGCTCTGGAGGAAGAGTTTGCTAGGAAGCTGCAGGAACAGGAAGTGTTCTTCAAGATGAGCGGAGAGTCGGAGTGCCTTAACCCCTCCTCCCAGAGCCGCATCTCCAAGTTCTACCCCATACCAACTGTCCACTCCACCGGTTTCTAGGAGAAACATATCTATACCTGCACAGACATACACAAACACACAGTCTACATGCATACGCTGAGCATGTGGATGTGTGTACACACACACACACACACACACACACACACACACACACACACACACACACACACCGACAGTGAGAACCGAGCCTGCGCTGCCTTGCCCTCACCGTCTGGGGACTTCTGGAGGGTGTCATAACAAGCATCTCTGTTTCTGGACTTTGGTCCTCAGTCTGAAGCTCTGTCTTTTTTTTTCTGCTCTTTTTATCATATCATTCATCATTTTCACACTATTACAACCATTTTAAGGAAAATGAAGTAGGATGTTTGCAGATTCAGCGTAACAGTCATAACCTCAAAAGCACTGAAGTGAAGTCTGTCTGTCAAACCTCCTTTTACTGATTGATTTATTTCATTAAAAAAATCCAGTGCCTGTAGAAATTGATGTTTTTGGCTCTAATGTCTAAAGCAATTTAAGATGATTACAGGTATTTGCTGCTCAATTCTTTTTTCTCCTTTAGACATTTGCACTAATGAAGATATGGCATCTTTATACCACTTAAGACATAATGTTGGTGATTTGATTTGAAAATGAAGAGCAAACATATCACTTAGAGTTGGTGCTGAAATAGAATGTATTTCTGATGGAGACATTTTGAACAACACTCCTGTTAAAGAATCAATATGATACAGTATATTTTTAACAGATAACACTTTGCGCTCTTACTTTAACTTGTGATACGTTTGAATAAGCAGGCTAATGCATGATTTCAAAGCAAGCTGCGGGAATATGTTCCTGCAGAAATGAATCTGTCATTCAGGGTTTTTCTTCAGAATGCCTTCCTGTCCCAAGCACACGACTTTAAACTATTATCAAGCAACAAGCAGAGGTGTAAAGGATTGTAGAGGACAATAAGACGAGGTGTGGAGCTGGTGTTTACATACAGAGACAAAGGATCACTGTAAATTGAAAACTAAGGAAATCACTGTGGTGGCAGAAAGAAAGACTGTACTTTGTTGGTCCGGTTTTTATATTGTAGGTTTTACCACTTTATTATTACTATTACAAGCTACATGTATCCATAGGACTATTATTCAGGGCAATGTATCGTCTTGCTTACCTGTACAATATTTCAAAATAAATCATAACTCTTTTTCATGATATGTACGGCATCAACAGATTCTTTACATTTAACTGCTTCACACTTTCAATTCAAAATAGAAACATTTCAGCAAAACTGAAAAAAAAACAACACTTTTCTTCCTCTGACCTCTCATAACATATTTTGCAACAAGGTGTATCATGTGTAGGCCTGCTTTTGTTTTGTTTTTTTAATGAAATAATACTGTTTTTATTAGTATGCTAGCTTATAGCCTCAACACTTCAGAAAAGCTGTCTGGATATACTGTATACCTGATATGACTGCCTTTAAAGACTTTAGGCTAACTAAAGAATTGATGCTAGCTCGTAAACTCAATGCTCCTTTTCTATGACTATGGAAAATAATGACGGTTGTAGAAATATTACATTAGTGTTATCGGCTGTATATAAGAGGTGGACGTCGTACTCGAGCCCCGAGTGAGGCATAATGACAGTCAACTGTTTTTTTCTTTTCATTTACGTAGTAGATGTTTACTGTAATATTATATTGGATGCTAACTGGGCTAGCAAACACTGCACACTGAGGGAGAACTTTTAATTGGGCCCTGGTGGTGACCAACTAAATAGAGATAAAACAAACCCTGTTTCTTGTCTCTCTCTTTTTTTTTTTTACCTTAAATCTGAGCATTCTAAGTGAACGTCGTTCTGTTTTGGGGATGACTTGGAAGTAGTGATTTAGATTAAACGTGTTCAGATCTTTTAGACTTAATTACATTACGATCTTTTTTTCAATCAGTAGCGTCATCCCCTCCTGGCCATTAGAAGAACTGCTAGTAAAGGCACTTTGTTACTGGCCTTAGTTTGAAATCTAGTGGCTAAATCCACATCTAAAATACAGTCTGTGATCTGTTATCAAAGACACTAAAAGGAACATAACCTTGAAGTATTTGTTTTTAGGGAGATGTATTAAAATGATATGAAAGCAATGTCATATTTGATGCAGTTGTAAACACAAGCGAGATAAAAAAAATAAAAAAAAAGACCTGTCTGGTTTAGGTCATATTTATGACATTGGTTCCTTTTTCCGCCTTGTTTTCTTTTATTATTGGCTTTTAAGAGTTCCAGATAGTCGAGGTGTTTAATAAATGAACTGGTTGTGTAATGAAGGAGTGCTGTGCACCTTTTACAAAGCTGACTCAGCAGCTATTTCTATGGACATGTCACCCACACTGCAGCATCATGCTGTGCTTCAGCCATTATTCTTCCATTGGTGGTTTGCGGCATAAAATACTACAATCACAAAATCAGTCCAGTCAGTTCCTTCTTTATTGGTCGGTTAGATTCTACAAATTAATGATTGAATTCTGAATGTTGAAAAAAACAAATGTCCCTATCAAAATAATTTTGCATTTTTTTAAATGTGTAGTTTTAGAAAGCCTGTGTCGTGTAGATTTCCATTTTGTTGTAAATAAAAAAAAGTCTTCTGTACAGTTTTTTTCTTTGTTGTTGTTACACCTGGTGACACACTAATGAAAAGCTATTAAAGCTTAATACTAGCAACATAAACAAAATGTTAACAAATAACCTACTAAAAGGAGAAATACATTCATTTAATCCATACAATAAAAGATATCACCTCTCTAAATGACACCATTTTAAACAATGTAAACAAATTAAACAATAACTATACATAATCCCTCTATTCAAAAAGACAGTTTGCCCAAATAAAAGAAAAATCACAAAAAAAAATAAAACTGAGGGAAATTTGTTGTATTTTTATAGTTCAGTTACTGCCTTACACCAAAAATGGTCCATATACTGTATTACACAATATGAGATGTATAAAAAAGGTTCTTATAGTTGATATAATTTTAAACACCAATGTTCCTTCTCCTTCTTTTTGTCCTCAGCGCGAATTCGTCTGAAAAAAATAATGTGGGTTCTGTTATTTTCCAGAATACTGAATCATATTAAAATATTCTTTTAGCAAATATGTCATAGACTCAGTTCTTTTTATAGACAAGTGCAGGCTATCATGTAGTTAGCAAGCTAATGCTGCTATTGCTTGTTTTAATCACTGTTATTGGTTTGTTAACCCTGACTGACATTGCTACTACAGAAAACTGAATTTTTGAAATAAAATTGAGCTTGGATCTAGAGCCATGATAAATAATCATTTTCATCAAACTACATTCACATTCAAAGCACAGGGGCCAGCCCCTTGTGTAAATATGAACTAACCTCTGTCCCCTTGTCCTCTGCATCCTTCAGGCCCAGGAAGGCATGGCTCACCTGTGTCATGACAAAGAGGCACCTACTTATTGATCACACAACACCAAACCCACGTTTCTCTGTTTTGGTTTTTACACATCTTATCAAATGTATTGCTAATGAAAGACAGACATTTTTAGATTTTCTAGTGATTTCAGATTGAACCACTTTTTATCATATCAACAAGGCAGCCACATTGCCTTGAAATCCAAATTTTGGCTTATACCTTTATACCTTGATTTGAATGAAAGGCAGGCGTGTTGTAGCTGTTTGCTATGAGGCTTTGCTTAGCTGAATCTTTTCTCTGACCTTAAACAGTAGGCTTTGCTAATGGTGTTTTCCCTGTTTACAATATGCTAGCTGGATGACAAGCTAGGTAATCCAGATGGAGCGTGTTTAAACTAGAATATTCATTCGGCCCACATCAACTCCAACTCTTTGCCTGCTTCAGTCGGCGTCAACAATTCCAATATGGCAACTCTCATCATTTGGAACACATATTCAGAAATCCACGAATGACCTCACTGAGACTATGTTTTTTAAAGTCTATGTTTGTGACTTAGCTGTCATTATCAAATGAATTATTAAATGTGTTGTAGTCTATTTTCATGCCGTATTAACAGTCTGATGTTTCATTGCATTTTCACTATTTACAATTTTTGAGAGGCTGATCAATCAGGAAGTCATGCAATTTTAACTATTACATTCTCCATGTTTAGAGTTTCTTTATAGGTGTACCTCTCTCTCCTTTTGGCCCCGGGAATCCTATGTCCCCTTTCTGTCCTGGTCTCCCAGGCGGTCCTACAATGGCTCCATGTGCTGTCAGAGTACAAATTCAAATGGGTTTTTTTAGCCATGCTACTTAAGCCCTTTTGCTTTTCAGATAATAAATGTTTCTATGTTTGGCGCAGCATGTGTTTGTCTGTACTTCTTTACCTCTGATGTATTCAACTACATCTGTGACGTTTGTGTGGCAACCAAACAACCGACTGTATCCAGGGGGACCAGGAGGGCCGGGTGGACCTGGCACCCCTTGAAAGTCACGACCATTGTGCTCGGGCAGGAGACCATGGGCTGTGAATAAGAGAACACTTTGTGATGCCAGTTTAAACTCTTTTGCTACATTAAACCTTAGGAAAATAATTAAAATTGTCAGAGTGGAACAAAGTTAAAGTGGAGTCACTTAACCCTTATTAGTAGGGTGTTTGAAAAGAAGAACTAAAGGCTTTATCTTTCTTTTTTAAAGTATGGCTGAAGTGAGACATTATTGTATGAATTTGCAAAGATACTGCCTATCATGGGGTTCTTGGCCTTGAATTATAAAAAAGTGTGACTAATAAGCTAATAATACTTACATTTGATATATTCCACCACATCTACAACGTTTTCTCTGCAGCTGACCAATTGACTGTGTCCAGGCACTCCTGGATGTCCAGGAGGTCCTGGAGGTCCTTGAATAACATGTTCAGAGTCTCTCAGAACATCCCTGAGCAGACCGTGAGCTGAAGGACAGTAGATGTCAGTCAGGTAAGATGTAGACTATATTATTATGAAAGTAAGATTCAGAGTGAAGACAATTTTTATTAGTGTTGCTGTCATGACAAACATCCTCCAGTGCACCTACGTACATTTGATGTAATCAGTAACTTTGGCAGCCATATTGGAGTAGTCTCCAGAGTCCAGGTTCAAGAGTCTGCTCCCAGGCACACCAGGGTCACCCTTGTGTCCTGGGGGTCCAGGAGGGCCTGGCGGACCAGGAAGTCCAAACATAGCTCCTGCCAAGCCATCACCTGATGACAAAATCCATATTTTAAGACTTCAGAAAACCCTGCAACTTTTTATGACAATGAGTCACAACCCAGACAGATTATTATAGAGACATTTTTGTAAAGGTGTATGATGTTTCATATTCCTTAAAACATACTCTTCATGTATTCCTGTCGTTCTCCTTTAAGCATCTCTCTGCCAGCATGCTCAGCATAGGAAACCACTCCATGGATTGGATAAGGGCGACCCTCTGGTCCTTGGGGACCTGGAAATCCAGGTTGGCCTCTGTAGGAAACTCCTTTAAGAAGAAAATAGAAAAGATTTGAAGTCTAACAACATGTTCTGCATGTTTTCATGATTAAACCCTAAAAAATGTATGAAGCCATTGTGTAGACTCACTTTGTAAGTAGTCTCGAATATCTGCACTGACATAATTCCCATATCCTGGTGGGCCAGGTGGTCCTGCTGGTCCAGGTGGACCATGTGGACCAGGGATACCTGGGGCACCAGGAGGCCCTTGATAACCACCTAGTTGGGGACAAAGAGAAAATCTGTGGGTTTAAGAATAATGTTGGTCTTATATATGTTTGGTATAAAAACTAAAAACATAAATACTATTACCCCCTCACTATGTTTTTTTAAATGATTTATTTTAACCCCTATCAAGTTTCCAGGAATACCTGGTGATCCAGGAGGTCCTGGGGGTCCAGGGGCACCTACATGCCCCCTCTCTGGGGAAAGATAGGACCATCAGTCAATCATGCTTATGTTCTCAAAAAGAAGAGCTTTGTTATTCAGACACCTTAAGGTCCATCAATGACACTAACCATTCATCAGACTGAGAACACGTTCAGCCACCTCCTGGGTGTTGATAATGTAGCCGCCATGGCCTGAGCCTGGTGCTCCTGGTGCTCCTGGTGGTCCTGGTGGACCGGGAGTGCCTGCTACATATCTCCTCACGTCCTCTCCTGGACACAAACAATTGACACATATAGGAGAGTCTTGCAGGCTCAGCTGTTGAACCATGTAAAAAACAAACACACTGCAAGATTTATGAAGAAATCAAGTCATCAGTTTGGCAGAATTAAAATAATCGACAACAAAGCTTGTTGTTAAATAACCATCTTTCCAAAAATGTTTTAATTTTAACCTCCTGACTTACGTTGTAATAGGTTGATGATGTCATTAATAGAGACAGATCCAGGTGGACCGGGAGGACCAGGAGGGCCAGGAGTCCCATCATATCCTCGACCTGAACCTGGACAGGAAAATGTTATGAGCAGGTTACACCAATGTTAGTAATAAGTAAAGATTCAGATACAGACATGCTGTGTATTAATATACAAAACACAAGTAAATCTCACCCTGGATGTAGGAAATAACTCGGTTGGCCATATCATCAATCGACCCGTCCCCTGGGGGCCCTGGAGGACCTGGGGGCCCAGGGGGTCCAGCCAGGTATTCCCTGATGTTACCACCTGCATGTTAAGAGACATTTGTCTCAAACAGTTCACTTGATTGAATTGCTTGTTTCATCTGACTGTATATGCAAAGTAAATAAACAATAGATTACTCTGTAAGTATTCTGAAATATATTGTCCCACATCAGTAGATCCAGACCCACTTCCATCCCTTCCAGGTGCACCAGGTGGTCCAGGTAGGCCTGGGGGGCCAGGACTGTATGAGCCACCTTGTTCAACAAAACACATTTCTCTGATTGGATGTCATGTCATGTATGAATGACTGAAATGGCAATTTTTGAACAATATTTTCTCAAATAAATAACAACATTGATTTTTTTTATCATAGCAGTACCATTTGACTAAACAGCACATTTGTATGGACTTGATGCAGGGGCTTTTTACCAAGATGCCATTGCAAACTAATAATGCCATTGCTTTTATAAGAGTGTTCTGTCCACATTAGAATCAACATTCCAGTTTGGCAAATATACTGTATGTGTCCTATTTGTATAATGAATATTTCTAAGTCTGTCCAACTCTCTTTCCAAGAGCGATCATTAAAGCTCAATAGCTGCTCAAGGAATTATTAAAAAATCTGTCTTTAGAACATGTTTGCATGATTTACTGGTGTCTAGGAGAATGTGTCAGCTACTTCTTGCTTTTGACTCTGTAGACTTTTTGAAAGCACGTTATGAGTGAAAATGATTCTTACAATATGGTCTTAATACATGGCTTCAAATGAGTAGTCTTACCAGTTGATACTCCAGGGACTCCTGGGGCTCCTACATCACCTGCAAGGAACATTGTGAGAGACTCAAAGGCTAGCTGACTTCTGAATAAAGGAAATTAGTTGAAAAATAAATATACTGTAGATATAATGGACAGAGAGAGTTTGTGTACAGCCATCCACTTTAGTTAAACCCTTATTAATGACACATCCAAATAAGGGGAGGTTTAGGAAAGACGTCTGTAAGGAAGAGTTTGAAGAGGGTTACTCAGAACATTTGGTCGAGTTTACCTTTAGGTCCCTGAGGCCCCGCTGGACCCCATGGGCCTGGTGGACCTTGAGGGCCAATAGGTCCAGGCTGACCCGGGAAACCTGACATGAATACCAAAACATAGACTTAAGATCTGTTTAAGAAGCATGGGGTTTATTTATGACGTTTTAATATTTCCAGAAATCTGGGGGTTTGGGAACACCTGCCGAATAAGGCTGCTAGGTATGATTTAAAGATTTGAAAACATTTCCAGTGAGTTGACCTTGGTGATATGAGTTTTTTTAATCATCCAATTAGACTTTGTTCATTTTCATTTTAACAAGCTATAGATGGATAAAGAATGGAAGAGTTAGAGACCAAGAGTAGTGTGAAAACAGGTAAACACCTCCTGCTAGTCGCTGTATAAACACATCTAAAATTCAAACAGCAGGGCCAACAGATAGAGATTCTTGGACCTCCATAGATTCTTTAAAAAATATATTATGTAAAATTTGATCTCAATGAAATGTTCTTTACTTACCAACACTTCCTTCACTTGGACTGCCTGGAAGACCCGGTTGACCTGGTTCACCTGAAACAATCATTATTACACTAAGCTAGAGCAACGTTTATGTACAAGACTAGTTTCCAATCAAAACGGTGATGGCATTGATTGCAGTTTCCTCACCTTGGTATCCTTGTGATCCTCTTACACCTAAGGGCAATGATTGACACGGCAAGGGAAAAAATCTGTGAATTCAGAGGTTCTAAAAAGTTTTGAAGAAATATTCTTGACCAGTAGCTGTTCATATTTTGTTAAAGACAAGCCCTGCATCACAAATGCCAGAATTTTCACCATACAATTTTGTCATAACATTGCACCTACTCTGACTGGCATACAAACAGGGCTGAATAGTTTGAAGGTTTTCAACAGCATCACATTTCTCAGACCTACCAGGTGAACCCTGTGGGCCTTGGGGTCCTGGAGGTCCTGGTGGTCCAGCAAAGAAGGTATCTAAGACATAAACCAGAAAAGACTGCATCAAACATGCAAAGGCTAAATATGACATGTGCTCTTTGGTCCCAATAATATTACAATCAATCTTACATTGGATTTCTGTCACTAACCTGAGGTAGGAATGAAGCTGCCAGGTTCTCCTTTCACACCTGTAGGTCCAGGTACACCAACACCTGTGACGAGAGCAACATCAGTTTAAATCATTTTAATATTAGAGAGAAAAGTATCACTCTTTTTTTCTGATACTGCTGGAATCATTCTTTATGCTGATGATGTATGTATCTATCATTTTGTCTATAATGGATGGTACTTGTTTACCTGGTTCCCCTTGAGGACCTCTCCGCCCTGGAGGACCTTGTTTAGACACACCTGAACCAGAAATGAAGCAACATTTTAATAATCATATAAACTTGTCCAAACTGTTTGGAAATTCACTTGATATCTTATAAAAGCCTCTCGACAGACCAGCAGGACCTTGTGGACCAGGTTCTCCAGGAGGTCCCGGAGGTCCTGGTGGGCCGGGCTGTCCAGCCCCTGAGGAAAGTCCTGTTAGAAATGGAAATATAGAGTATGTAGCTGTGTCTATAACTGTAAATTACAGTGATGTGTTTAAATACCACCAGGAAATTAAAGAAGTAACATGTTAAGAAAAGACAAGTACTCACTGTCTGTTTGGGTTTCTGTCAGTTTCTCACTGAAAACAGGTTCACCAGGTTTTCCTTGACCCCCCTTCTCCCCTTGGTCTCCTTTGTCACCTTTTTCGCCTTGTTCTCCCTTAGGACCTGAGTAATAATGTGTTACATCAGAAAAAAAATCAGTTTAAAGTGTAATAACAATCCAAACATGTATCAGATGATCCGTGCAAGATGCTTGGAGTTATTCAAGGTGTTTTAACTTACCAGGTTGTCCAGGAACACCAGCAGGGCCAATGGGACCAGAGAGACCAGGGCTTCCAGAAGGACCTGGAGACCCAGCAGGCCCAGGGAGTCCAGGGATAACCACAGCATCAGAGCCAACTTGAAACAAGTAATGAAAAAAAATCCACTTTACAAGATGGACATAGAGGAAAAATACTCATAGTATTCATATTCTTCATATTTTATTTAAAATGAAAGTGTAGGTAGTGCTTACTTGGAGATATGATTTTACCAGGTAATCCTGGTTCACCTGAAAGACAGTATTATATGAGATTGCATTAAAAACCTTTACATTACAAATCAATGTTTCCCTTTGACAAAAATGAAAAGGCTCTGAGGTGAACGCCTATTTAAAGTATAAACCTTACATCATTTGTTTTGCTCCCATTTGCAGAACTAGTCATTTACTTTATTATGCACCCACTATAATGTGTGGATGTTAAGTTTCCATTTAAGCTAAGAGCTGGCTCAAGAGCTTTCAATGTTAGTCGATTGATGAGTTGTTCCATTACTTTGATTCGGACAGAAACTGTGGCTTGGTTCAAATGACCAACAGATTCCCCATGCAAAGCCAACCAACATACTCAGGTGATGATTGGCTACCACTACCTTTCAATTTATCGTTGAGACCAAAAACTAAATGGGGCAATTTGATTAACCAGCTCTTAAGAAGGGAGGCATTTTGTGTTTCTGTAATCATACAGTGCATTTATGATGTCAAAGTCAAAGTCAACTTTATTGTCAATTTCAAAATATGCCAGACATACAGTGGAATAGAAATTGCGTTTCTCTCCGTCCCACGGTGCAATACAACCAAAATAAGGTAATGAATGTTTTATTCATAAGTAATACAAGCAAACTTCTGTTGCATTGAGGTACTAACTGAGAAAATGTGTTAACGCAGATTACTCTTTAGACCCCGTAATTCTTGTGAACAGTACCATTTTCCATTGAACTTTTCAGAGAGGAAATGAGGCTTTACCTTGAGCACCAGGCTGTCCTGGATTTCCAGCAATACCTGTGTTAATGGATCAAAACAAGTAATGATATATAGAAAATCGAACCTGTATAAGAATAAAACTTATTTCAGGAAATGTATTCAAACCTGGGGGTCCTTGGAGTCCGGGAGTTCCTGGAGACAAATAAAAACAATGTCATGGCGTGGCATTGGAAAGATTATCACATTTCACGCACACCCAACTATGTCATGGAGTAGCTGCGTAGGACGACAAACTATCACTTGAAAAAAAATTATCCTGCACACTACTCTTGCTAACCATTATCAAATGATTAGACACACTTGATTTTTATTTAAAAAATTGGTGATGCTTAGAAATCTTTTTAAATGCAATCAATTTGAAATAGTCAAGCCAAATTCCCTAGGACAGACTTGACAAACACAAGTTTTCAGTTTATTGTGTATGATGCCATAAATTGATAGTGTTGTGGTACCTTGGGGCCCAGCATCTCCAGGAGTTCCTGGTGGTCCTCTCACACCAGGGGGTCCCATCGAACCTGCTTCACCTGCAATTTATTCAGAGAGTTTCTATTTTACCCGACAATTTCCTAGTGAAACTTTGACAGCAATCCAGTTTTTAGATCTCCCCTTATGTCATGATGGCTGTTCCATTACAGGTGAGGGGGGGGGGGGTTGTATTTTCTTACCTCGGTACATAAAAACTATTTCGACATGAACAGACAAATCATCTGTAAGTGTGGCAGCCTATCTGCTCATACAATTGAACTTCCTCAGTAGCTTATTTAATAAAGGACAACCACTCATCAACAGCGTTTACAGCACTGCAGCATTTATACGACTGTGAAAACGTTTTAGTGCGCTGTTAGAATAAACTTAGCTGTCTGGAGATTAGACGCAGTCCTCATTAAATTCCTCTCAGTCTTGACATCTTTGTCTTTATTATTTTGAAGCTCTTGAACTCACCACCAACTCCTTGAGGTCCCTTTGGTCCAGCAGGTCCTTGTGGCCCAGATTGTCCTGGTTCACCTTTAATCATAAACCAAATAATTTAAAAAAATGATAAACCTTTCCCCGATCAAATGTATTTTTAACCCTTTCTCCTGAGCACCTTTTTTTTAAAATTCAAATGCAGAATCATGCATTATTTTTAACAACGTTGATTGTTTGAGGTTCTTTGATAATATTTGTCTCAAAGATTCATGTGTTGAAACCAAATCACGATCATAATCGTACAAACATATTACCTTCAAAAGCTAAAGGGGAAAGTAATGATCTGTGTTAAAGTTTTTTGTTGCTTAATGTCGGGGTCATAACAAGAACTGGGGTAGTTGTTTGTAAAATATTTTACAAAAATGTTAAGCAGTAAAGAAGGGTTTTGAATAAATATGCATGTTGATAGTTCTTTAACCATGATTATGATAATCCACATTTGAGAATGTCACACAGTTTTATAGTTTATCATTTTAAAGTTATTCTTGTTTAGTGTGTTTTTATTTTCTTAAATATTAAATAGATACACAACAGTTACTTTCAGATGTTACTAAATACTAAATACTGGTCATACCAGAACAAGCAAGATTGTAACAGCGAAGCTTTGGAGAGAGAGAGAGTTGCTCTGATCAAGTGTGCATCATTACAAAGTTACTTCATTTGTTCTATGAAGTTTTATGAACACTGCACATAAAAACAACTTTTTCTGTCTGCTGTTCTATATGAATAGAACATTTGGGAAATAAGTTTTGGGACATGTTAATATCTGCTGTGATATGAGCTGTGTTATAATTCATCATGTGCAGGTCTATCTGGGACACACCTGCAGATCCACGTTGCCCCCTCTCTCCCAGGTCTCCTTTGGCTCCTGGAAGCCCTGCTGTTCCTCGATCACCTGCAAAAAAAAAAAAAAAATTAAAAATAAACATCAAAGTACTAAAGAAGTTTATAAAACCTTATTGTTTCTATCGATTGTGGTACTTTCATGTGCCTGTCAACATCCCTGTTATCTAGTTAATATGGATCATGAAAATAAAAACAGAATAAAGCATATTAGGAACCTTTTGCTCCAGGAGGTCCTGGTTCTCCGTGGAAACCCTTTATACCAGGAGCACCTGCAGATGAATAAAGCTGATTTAAAACATGGCTGCCAATCAGGACCAAACAACAGAAAATGAAAACTAATAGATTCTTTACCAGGGCTTCCTGAGGCCCCCTGCTCTCCCATGGCACCTTGGGAAAAACAAACGTCAGCTGTTCATTATTGCATTATTGATAATGCTTTATGTATACAGCACCTTTAATTAATTTGACTTAAAATCTGAACAATTTGAATAGACTAAGATTATTCCCAACCTGTCAATGGCTTGTATTCACAGCATCACAAGCAATTCTCTTGGGGGACACTTTATTTTGATGGATCAGAATATGGTAGGATTGAGTGTCTTTACCCTCTGTGTTATTTCTAACAGAATATTACCCTGCGTATCACTTGATTCAAGTCACACAACTGTATTTACCTCAATAGATATAGACCTAATGATATTATTTTTTAATTCCTTATTCATATGTCTTCAACACTGCAATTGATGGTCTTATTCTAAGATCAAACAGAAGATAAAGGCGGGTATGTATGAAGGTGTGGCTACCAGTGATTGACATATCACTACCCCTGCAAACTGTCAACAATGCTACAGTACCTCTAGGTCTCTGAGAAACAAGCTAAAAATAATCCTGCTCTGTTTCCAGTTTGAAGTTTCTCTGTAGAAACAGGACAGAGCAACATTGCCAACTCTGTAGGTTTAAAAGGTAATGGTTCTTATTTTCAGGTACGTTTTTACAACTGAAATGTTGTCATGAAAAATAAATTACACTTCTGGCAATATCTGACTGGACCTATAAGAGCAACACTTTTGATTAGGTAAGCATTTCATCTATCATGAGATGACATGTTTTTTCACTCTTTAATTTCCCAGGTACCTCCCGCGGATTACTCATTTACTCAGGCTATATACATTTTTACTTACTTAAGTTTTTTCTTCTTTTGGGTCTCCCCCTTTTTACATTTTTTTGCTGTTTTTATACTCTTGGTCTTTGTGTTTATTTGTCATTTCTGTTGTACTAAATCTGGTCATTGGTCATTACCAATGACCAGATTGTTTTATTTATACCTTTTTGTAAAGCACTTTTCTTGCACAATAAAATAAAGTTTAAAAAAAGAAGAAAAATATTAGTATAGTCCTTTAAATGATATTTGATCTGACCTTTAACTCCATCATGACCTTTGACCTTACCTTTTGGCCCCATAGGTCCCACAGGTCCAGCGAGACCAGGGCGTCCCTGCTCACCTTGAGTTCCTGTCATGACAGGTTTTATTATCAAAGAATGGACATCTCTACAAATTTTGTTCTGAGATTCAAAGTAGGAATATATGTACATTTTTTTACCTTTGTCTCCTTTCTCTCCAAAGCCTGGGGGTCCAGTCTCGCCACGGGGGCCCATCTGTCCATCCCGGCCCTTCTGACCCGGTTGTCCTTCAGCACCTGATTCACCTGTTTAGAAATGAGCAGAGATCCATGTTCTCATCTCTTAAGTGTCTATAAATTCACACATGGAAATGACCTCAAGTAAACACATACCTGCACTTCCCTTTGGTCCTCGTGGGCCATCAAGTCCTGGGTGACCCATCTGGCCCGGATGACCTGGAAAAATAAGATATGTCATTAGGCAATAGACACAGAGTTGGGGCTGCAAATAGCCTTAATAATTATCCCCATGTTCAGAGGCTTTAGTCCTGAAAGTGGATTCCCCACTCCCACGCTCATACCAGTTTCCTACTCTACTCTCTGTTCTCATTTACAACTAAGGTATAAAAGCCCCAAAATACTCTAAGATGAAAATAAGACTAACAGAGAATGAACTATTTACTCATGATTGGAGGAAAACTCTAAAACTTAGGCATATTTGCTCTCAGTCTTACCTGTCAGGCCAGGGAATCCGCTATCACCTGAAAAAGACAGATTTATAATTGTTGCTTATCAAAATATCATAAACTGGGTAAAAGGTAACTTCAAATAAACACATCACACAAGAAATAATCCAATATATAGCCAAGATGCTTTCACCTCCTAAAAGATGTCCTTTCTTAAAAATGAGAAAACTATCTATAGTGAATCCAAACATATTTCAAAATGAGTGCACAGGTCTGATTTTACAATAATTTTTTCACATTACAGGATTCAAATATAAACGATATATTTATTGTAAGTGCCAGAGAGGAAAATATTGATTTTCAGAAAAAAATTAAAGCATTGTTGTTCAGTGTTCCTCACCTTTCTGTCCAGGCTGCCCTGGATCACCTGTAAACCACAGCCAGTGTTAAGAATGGATCACAACATAATATTACATTTCCAGTAATGTTTTTGTAAACATGCCTTTAGGTCCTGGATCTCCTCTCTCCCCTTTTAGTGAGTATGCCAGTGTGTCTGAAAGAAGAAAAAAAAAATCATGGATCATTCACATGAGCATCAGGTGGTTTGTTAAGAACTGTATTAATCCATCAGCGTGTTACTCCTCCGCACCTCTTACAACATCCGAGCGGAGTTCAGCCATGACCAGCTGCTGGACGAGTCTATGCAGGGCAGCACTGTCCAGTCCTGGTCCGCTTCCCGCGCCTCCTCCTTGCCCAGCAGCTTCCAGGTTGATGCTGTTGTCGGTGCGAGTCAGTGTGGACCCAGCAGGACTTCTCTCAATGTACGACGAGTCCAGCGGGTCGATGATGTTGACACCAGAGGAGGTTGACAGGCGGCTGGATCTGGCCGATGCGGTGCCAGTGATGGCTTCAAGAGCATCAACACGGTTCTTGAGGCGTTTGACTTTCTCGCCTGAGAAAACAAAGAGGAGATGATGGGCATGTGCAGGTTACATTCAATGACCCTTATTGAAGGCAAATAACACTCTGTCACAAGAGAAGAATGTCTTACCCAAAGTGATGAGTCCAAAGAGGAGTCCGAGGAGGAGGAGCAGGCTGAGCAGGAGGCCGAGCAGCCACTTCCACCAGCTGCAGCAGGATAAGAAGCCGAGGCCCGACTTATCTTCTCGGATCTCTAAGAGACAACAAGTTTGAAGACAGAATAACATCTTTGTCAAAGAAAGGAAACCAACAACTGTTGGGACCAAGAAAGGAAATAAAAAAGCTCAGCAAAGACTGGTATTATTGAGACTAAATAAGGACTTCACTTTTTTTTTACAACAAACATCTACTGCAACAGCATATTGCTGAGCTTGGTTTCTTCATTTCATTAGATGTATCAATACTTACATGTTCTATGTCTTGCAAGATCAATTTGTTATGCTACATTGTGCTTCTTGCTGAGATATATACTGGATAGGAAGATTGATACCACACTGATGTCTCTATACTGAGGCTAAGCTTCACTTAGCAAGAGATACACTACAGGGGGGAATTTACCATTGTAAAGAGATGTTTGAATACTTTTCTTAATTATTGCACATATGAGCTCAAATGTCTGTATCCTTAAAGGACAATTACAGTCAGGAGACAGAAGGCATTTCTTGCTTAGCTTAGCCTAGTTCGAATGAGACCTCAGGGGGCAAACATGTTTTGTCCAGATGGATTATTATATGTTTTAATATTTAAAGAAAAGATAAGCATGCTAAATGTAACAATGGGAATGAAAAATAAAATGCAATTCACTACCTGCATAGGTGGCTTTGTCTTTTGTGGATACTTTTAATGACGCAGCTTTAAAACAATGAAATAACAAAAAGCAAAAAATTACATGCAGATCAAAAAAAACGATATCATGTATGCATTTGTGGGATCTAAATTTGATCATATGGATGTACATTTAGCGTCTGTTCCCTCCTCCATTGTGCTGGATGATAGTTTTTGTTTCTCTCGCTTCAGTGAGTCTTCTGAATAGGTACCTACAAGACAATACATTCCATACTTTACCATTTATTATGAAAAGAAATTGCAAAACGAGCTTTCTTTCTTTCTTTTGCTGAAAGAGTAAGTCAGAGGAGGGAAGTAGAGCAGTGTAGCAATGTGGTCATCTTTAAGAGTACCAGAAGCACTAGCAGGTGCAGCAGACATGAACTGCTTCACCGTGTCTTTGGTCATGATCAGACGCTCCGTCTCCTTCTTCACAGGAGCGTTCTCCTTCTCTAGCAGCACAAACTTATAGTCTTTGCCCGGGACCTCTACATGAACGGGACTGCTGGGTCTCACTGCAACAAACAGACAACACGGCAACACTGAGACCTCAGACTGAAAATCGACAAATTGTGTTGCAGTTTAACAAATGACCACCCAGCACTGTTTGCAGTAAAACATCATTTGCATCTACATCGTTGGTAAAATAAAAGCTAAGGTAGATCAAATGTCTTAGTGATTATGACATTTTAAACAGCTAAGTAACCAAAAACACATTACATAATAAATCTTTGAAAGTGATTCTTTAATTCAGATTCGCTGAATTATTACCGTAACATCACTCATTGGTTTGCTGACCATTGTAACCTTCATGTTTGGTGTTTTAGCTCTTGCCACCTTGATGCTTTGGGATCAGTAGTGACCCTATTTTTATCAAGAGTGCAGATTAAGCTATGACTCTTAACTGACTAAGAGTTGACTGCTGGAGGGGACTATAGATAGCATCACATATAGACATATTGTGAACGCTGGGAACTTGGAAGAGAATATTCATTTTTTAAGAATATGTTTACTTAAAATGAACTGAGCTATCAGTCCCAGTTGTGGAAGCGGGGGTCGTACCATGGGCAGCAGGGTTTTTGTTTTGTCTTGTGTGTTTGTTTGTTTGTTTGTTTATTTGTTGATGCTTAGTTATATATTAGTGTTATTATTTAAGTGGGATGGTTTACATACCCATGACATATGAATTTGGACTGGTGTTTTGATGTTACTGGTTTGTTTGATTGTTTTGTTTTTGTTTTTATAGTATGCTTTACGTATGTCTTTTCGTTTTGTCACATTGGTGATTTACTTTTGGAAAAATAAAGTACAAAAAAAAAAAAATGAACTGAGAAGAGGAGTTGCTCGTTGCTGGCAATTAGAAAACATGTAGGTGTAAGGCACTTTGGCGTCGTTTCTGTTTTGACACCCCATGGTAATCTGTTGTCTATGATAGGGACAATGCCACACCTCCTATAACTGGCGAGAATTATATATTCGATACTATGTTAAAATGATAAACTCAACATTCACACATCTTAAAATGTAAAGTCTCACCAGTGGTTGGGCTCATTCCAGGGCCAGATGCATTTTTCTGCACACCATAGACTGTGAAATGACAGATATATGCACATTTAGAAAGCAAGGCATGATTCCCTGAAACATTTTCTTCCCTTGAAATGGCATCTCTTGTGATACTTGCAAGGTATTTTAATATCATCAAATCTTAAAGACAAGTTTTTAAAAAGAAAACAAATGATTACAGAATCAATATGTGGATAGATCCTCCAGAGTTTGTTGTTCAAAACTTTTGAGTAGGATTGGGATAACTTTGATCCAAATTGTCGAATATTATGATCTTATTTGTATAACAATGTTGTTACTTAAAATATATTTAACATAATTGTTCTTGAGTTGCTAAATCAGCATCATGTCATCAAGTAGACAATAGGGTTGTAAATAAATACATAAAGGATTCTGTCCCTGTAAAAGATTTCACCATATAGCTGTTAATATCAAACATAAAAGATTCAATTGTAAGAAACTGTCAGAATCTTTCAGTTTGTGTGGTTTTTGGTGCCCCCTGTGGTTAAAGAACGTAGACTCTTGTAATCCAGAATTGGTTATCTTTAATGGTCTCCATCTGGTTCATGCTGATCCGATGCTAATTTTCTTTAAAAACAAGGAAAAGTTCAATTGGATCACCTGATCATGGGTAGCAAAAAAAAGTGGATTTTCAAATCTGGATCATTCCTATCCAGTATCCTACTATCAAGTTTAATAAACAACTGGACCCAGATGATTTCAATAAAATCTTTACATAATGCAAGTGTTCATTAAATTTGTTACTTTGCTTTTCTACCTATCTGTGTGCTGCTTCCAGAGGGAGAGAGGAGAGTAGGGCTGGTACCGGCCAGGTTATTCTGAACTCCGTAGAAAGGAACTGAGACAGGAAGAATAAAAACAGCACGGTGATCGGATCTTAGTGCAGAGCTGAGCATGTGAAATCCCAATGGGTCAAAACATGACCGAAAGAAAGACGCTCACCAGTGCTGCCAGCAGACAGGCCACCGTTCATAGAGTGAGAGCTGAGTGTCAGGTTGTTCTGAACTCCTCCTATAAGGGTCAGAAAAGAGCACAGACTTATTTTACTTAGGAAAATAAAAACATACCCCTACGTACCATCTCGCACTACAGGTCAACAGCATAGATAACTAAAGGTCATGGCCAATGTTCTTATTTCTCCAGGAATTACCCACTGAATAGAATACTGAATAGTATCTCAATTTCCCCCTCTTTAAACGCACAGTATGTAAATTCTGCCGCCAGGTGGCTCTTAATCAAAACAACAACTAACAAGAAGACCTCAAGGCTGGTGGGGAATCATGGGAGTGACTCTCTCTGCTAATCCACACTCTATCCCCAATGAAAACAAACTAGTTGAGCATAGTCAGGACATCAGGGGGAAAAATATATCAGTAAGAGAATATTTTCACCAACGATGCTAATATATCGAAGTATAGTTTATATAACTTGTGATTATCACAAGCAGCACAAACAGTCACAGAACGGGAGCTTTCAGTAGCATAAACATGATAGCTAACACATGTCATGTGTTAGCTCTGTCATGGCGGCCGCCGCAACATGACACGTCCCATGACAACTATAAAATGAAGGATTTCTCTGACTTTGATAACTGTTGGAAATAATTGAGCTAATGTAAGTACTCAACAAAAAAAATTGTCCACAAAAATGTCAATTTTTAATGGATTTAGATATTTTGGTGTAAACATTTTACAAATTATGTTTTTAAGTTTTATTTTGCCTGAAGTTTTAATAAAGATGCTTGAAAAACATCAGTTTTTAAGGAGACATGGCATGTTTCTGAAAAAAAAACAAGTTGATATTAAGTTGTCAATATGTCATCTGAGCGCTCCTAAACTCCTATGACATCAGTAAAACCACAATGTGCAAAAAAACATTGGCCATTTGTTCATTTATGACCTGAAACACTTAAATAAAAAGCTCTTGTTACAATTGCATCAAAACATCTGCATTGATATCCTATTGTAGCTCATATAGTTGGTTATGTATGACTTACCTGACTGGTAAAGGGTGGAGGTTGTGGACAGGTTGTTATGGTTTGTGCTGTAACTGTAGCTGTCGCTGCTCACACCTCCAGACCAAACGCTGCCGTAGTGGTCTGAAGAGAAGACAGAAAAATTGAATGCAAAGGATGAAAAATGTAGTGCAAAGTATCACACTTCATAATCATACAGCATCTTATTATTCTGTAAACTTCAGACTTTAACTTGCATTCAAAACATCTCATGAGTGTGAACACTTGGTTTGAGTGGTTGAACCTGCGCTGGAGCTCTCGGACATGGTCCTGGTCTCCACACTGGCTTTCTTGGGGATGGGTAGGGTGTTGTTGCGGGACCGGGGGGGGCTTGGGCTGGTTCCTCTCAAAAGACGCTTCACATCATCCAGCTCAGTCCCTGAAAGAATGAAAGGAAATCAAGCAGTAGAAAGGATTGTCTGCAGATACCTTTGGCTCCCACTTATTTCAAATCCAAACTAAATGAATATTCATGATAATGTTCTACGACAGACTCACAGTGTGTAAGGCATAAAGAAATATCAAAGTGTTGCATGTATAATACATTCTAAGGAGGATATGAGGACTTTTTACAATGAGGCAGATATAGCGTTAAGGTCTGACAAGTAAAGCCGATGTGAAAGTGATTAACTCTTTCTAATGGCCAGCAGGGGGCGCCTATGTCAGAATGACCCTATACTTCTTACTTCATACTTCATACTGACCACATCAGTAAACATTTCCATAATGTGTATGAGGACTCAGTCCCTATATTCAAGTTTCATTTTGTTGATCGCTGTCCCATTTACAGTAAATTAGACGACACAAAGGGTCAAACTTGGGTGCGGGAGGCTATCTAATAATTGAAAAGTTGTAACCACACACACCTCAGAAAAAAAACCTTGTTTAGTGTTTGTTGTAATGGAAGATCCGATCTTTTTGTTGTTGTTGTTGTCGTCGTACTTTTCCACAAGAATGAAACCAAATCATTTATAATATCCCCTACACAGTACTAACTGGCTTCAGGTTAGGTCATGAAGCCCGCCTCCTCCATGTTAACCAATGAGACGCTGATCAAACCAGAAAATGTAAATACACATCAAATACATTTTTCTCAAACATGTTTTCTGTCTTTAACGTTAATTCGTATCATGCTAATAATTAGCCATTTTTCTCACTATATCAAATGTGTGTTTTGGTTAGTTTATCGGGCGGGGTGTCAAATGAAACTTCTGCTGTACAACTCTGGCTCCAAATTACGTCACCAGTGGAATATGCCAGCGACGGTGCTGAGGGGTATTTTGGCTTAAATTTTGTACAGTGGGAGGAGTTAGAGCCAGTGCTAATGTAGTGTTTGATAACCCCTTGTTACATTTTTGCTCAAAACTACCTATTGATACGGTCACCTCTCCATTAAACCTCAAGGGGACAAAAAAAAGGCCAAACTTTAAAAAAGCTTAAAATTAATATAGCAAAAAGCTTGTATACTCTAGTACAGTGCTTCCCAAAGTGTGGGCCATGGCCCCCTGGTGGGTCGTGTGGGTACTCCAGGTGGGCTGTGAAAAGCCCTCCACCAATTTAAAAAATAAAATAAATATCACAATAATGATGATTTACCTGGAGTGAACCCTTTAAGTGATTAGTAAGGCGTGTCATGACTATTCATGGACATAATGTTTAGAAAACTTTTGTGTCTATCTTGCCATAATATCATTTTGTCATGTCCAATAATTTACCCTAACTGAAAGTAATAGCTGTAGTCAAAACTTTTAATTTAATATATCAAAGTGGGTCGCGGCAGTTTTAAGTTTGGGAAAGGCTAATCTAGTACTCACAGCTTGCTGGAGGCGAAGCACTCTGAAGCCGGGCTCTGATCTCACTCTCTAAACACACAGAAGACATTGTTGAGTAAATATCTTTAACCTGTGATGGAAAGAATCGTCATAGACAATGTTTTGTATTTCAATGAAATGCTTATGTGTTGTCCCTCAATGTGTGGTGTGTCAGTGCTGTCAGTACCTCTGCTCTGAGTTCTCCCTCTGGTGGCAGATGTTGAAATTGCACTTGATGTGACTAAAAGATTAAAATCAAAAAATCATTCATGACAATTTGAATAGAACTGCTCACACCAAAGTATAATCCAAGAAGAAAGAAGAGCTTACCATACTCCTTTCTGTTATACTCTGGAGAGGAATTTGTGCTTGAACTCTCTGAAACATGGAGACAAATTAAAGGCCTCGTTACCCCTCAAGTTTACTTTTACTATGCTTTTTCAAACAGTGTGAAACAGGCCACAAAGTTATCTGAAACAACACAAATTAATTGACCAATGTGTCCTATGACTGACCGTCGAACACCTCTGACAGGGCTGCTGCCATGGTAGTTATGGTCTTCCTCTCTTTTTGGACGGGTGAATATGTGATTGCTGAGGACGATCCTCTCTTGGCTTCCCCAGATCCAGCAGTACTGTAGCTGCTCTTCGTCACTGTTGAAACTGTTACAGCACCAAGGCCCCCTTCCCTTTTCCCCTCTCGGCCACTCACAAAACCAGAGGACATGCTAGAAGAACCTCTTCCAGCAGCCTTAAATTCAGCTGCTGAGGCCTCCAAAGCAGCAGAACCTCCTCCTCCTCCTCCTCCTCCTCCTCCTGAACTCCCAACAACAACCAAACTCCCTCCGCTCACTGAAGTCCCTCCCCCTGCAGAGCTTCCTCTAGCTGAAGATACAGCAGAAGAAGAAGCTCCTAGAGTGGTGATGCTGATGCCTCCAGATTCCCCGGAGGTGGTAGTGCTGGAGCTGCTGGATGTGATCAGAACTGAGCTGCTCGTGCCTCCTGAGCCTCCTGACGCAGCTCTTCCACCTGACCCTCCTGAACTCAGGGAGAGATCCCCTAAAGAAAAATATCAAGAAAAGAGAACATGTCATTGGTTAAAATGAGTGATGTGTTACTAAATGTTCTAAAGGCACATGATGTCAAAGTCCTCATCACATTGTAGATGATTCTGCCTGATGGGGCTGAGAAGGCTTTAGGCTTTTATGTACCGGTAATTACCTAAATCCTGTTTCCCCTACTATTCTTCACTGACAAAGTAGGTATATGAAAGTGAAAGTCCCCTGTCAAGGTTTTTTTTTTTTTGAATCAAATAACATTCCTAAGTTAAGCCTCTGCTTGCCTGGTAAATGTGCCTGAACATGATGCCTTAGTACTCTATGCCTACTCTATAAATGTCAATTTTCTTCTGCGAGGTTGTCTTCAGACATTCATCAAATATATAGGCGATGCTGCTGGTGCTGCCCAGGGTAATGGGTTTTCTTGTCACTTAAAGGTTTAGAAGCAGCCTCTGGCACCATATAGTGGCTCTCTCTACAACTTGTTGCCTACAAGGAACGTGTGGCTGCTTTTATTCATATCCCCTTATAAGGTCATTTTGGCTAATTAAGCAACAAAACGTGTTACTTATCCAGAGTGCAGAGCAGCACTAGAATGTGTTAAAATTGTAGTCCAAAGAATCGCTTGAAAATGAACAGATTCATCAGCTTCAGAAAGTAGCTTATTGCTATCTTCACAAGCTAACTGCTGAGTCTTTCCATCAAGCTATGTGTTTATTTTGTAGTAGTCTTTCCCACTGAAATCAGCTGGCTGATAGATTAAGAAGTGACTTTTAAAAGAGCTGTTAGAATAAACTAAATCTATAAGAGCTGGAAAACCAAAACAACAAGCAGAAAAAAGTAAATATAACTTGATCTTGTGGGGGGTTTTTTATGCAGTGGCTAATTGTTATGTTAGCATATCACTATTGTTCTCTTATTTCACAAACATAAAGAGACATAAAAATTGTATTTGGCCACTTGGCAGCTTTACAGCAGAACAAGCTGGGAGTAAAGACAGTAATATACATTTTAATGTGGCAGCTAATGAGCAAGCAAAAATGATGATAAAAGCTGTGAGACACAAGTGAACACAAATGATAAAAACAATGAGCATGTTAGCTTAGCTTATCATAAACACTAGAGACAGTTGCTATAGCATTTTAACAACATCTACTTGTTTGGGCAGAACAACATTGCAGTAACACTGTTGTGGTCTTCATGAACGTTTGACATTTGTTTTGCATTCTGGTGAACTCTGCCCATTACCTTTAATGTGTAGAGGTAAATGAGACAACAAGGTTAATATGTACCTGAAACTAGCAGCACATTATCTTAACAATAAGCTAAATATGCTCTAGAGTTCAATGGCCTTAAGGAGGCCTGCACAGTGGGGTGATCTATAGATCTGACTCTGAAGTGATTAAAGGCACAACTTACTTTGCGATGTCAGCCTTGTAGTAGTTACTGATTTTGTGACCACTATGAAAGAGAAAAATAATCAATCATAACAAACATTACTCATGTACACTGATTTATGCCTTTTCAAACCATGTTATATTTAAAGAGAACCTCTTTCTACTGAATAAAAATGAATACTTGATTCACATACATTTTAGATGGAGGCAGAAATGACTGTTCTGCAATTTGCAAAAGCCAATCCTTTGAATGTTTTCACCAAACTTGGATTGTACAGCCTTGTCACTGTATAGTATTGACATTTCATCACCTTTTACTGCTTGTTTAAAGGTATCATGCACCGATTTGACATTTTAGAAAAAGTAAAACAAAAAGTGAATGCAAATCTCACCTTTACCAACTCCTCCTGTGCCTCCACTTGAACTGGCAGTCTGGGCTGTATTTAGATTATCCATTCAACGCTAGCTGTTTAAAAAACAGACACACACATTTTTTTCTTCTCGAAAGCAGAGGGTATAGATACACAGGGAAAAACTCATGGGCTACTGTGTCAACTATGAAAGGCTAAAACTCAGCATAAGTTAGATTTCCATGCATTCTCCTGGAATGTTGTTATACCCTCAGGAAGTACCTGCAGCCCTTTTGAACAAATTATTTTTTTTCATTTTGTGTGGTCATATTTCATCCTTTGTCGCCATTCCTCCTGAGGACAGATCTCTTTAGAATCAAGCATGCTTTTGATTTACAGTGTTCACCTGAAGCTGTGTGGAGAGGGCGTAGCCCTTTGTTCACTTGATGAATATGACTTTGCTTCCTACAAAAGGGCCTTACAGTGTGAAGGCCAATCACTACAGAAAACTCAGGTTTCACTCATAGCTGCAAGAGATGACATTAAATATTTAGCCAGCGGTCACACAGGTGGATTATAAAGACGTGTATAGACTCAGAAAAGAGACACAGGCTGACATGAGCTATTTCATGTTATTCTATTCTATTTAACATGCACCAAACATCAGAGAGTAGGTACAAGTACAACACAAGCAAGGATCTAAAGAGGAGGAAACAACATCAGTAAGGGAAAAGTGGAGTACGTGCAAATGAAATAACAACAGCCACTCTCTCTAAAAAAAAAGAAAAGATTTACAAAAAAAAACTTAAGAAGCATTATTTCTTTGTATTTGAACCTTAGAAATAAAGTCAGGTAATATTTCTCAAAAATATAATTAATGACAATGTTTTGGGACATTTTTCTACAGTTAATATATTGGTTGTTTTTTTAAAAATGTAAAGCAGTGGTTCTCAACTTGTGGGTCTGGACCCAAAAGTGGGCAGCGGAGCTGTTTTCAGTGGGTCGCAAATGTGTTAAAAGTCTGTGAGGGATGGCCTACAAGTGGGCGGCCCAGGTTCAAGTCCCACTGGTGTCTCCTTTCCCGCATGTCTTCCCCTCTCTTTCTCTCTCTGATTTCTTACTTTAACCACTGTCCTATCAAATAAAGCCCAAAATGAATCTTTTATTTTTTTAAACATGTTTGAATTGTTCTGGAGTTTATTTCTGTCGAGTGGTTTGTACCGGCTGACGTCCAAACTGTACACATTTCAATGAATAAATATGATTGGTTAAAAAATGTTTTAAAATAAAAGAGTTGGTAGAGGCGCTTGACGATACCAGTTGAGAACCTAGACTATATATACGAGTATATAAGTATATATATACGAGTATATAAGTATGTATATACGGCACATGTGTATGTATGTATACTTCCTTCCTATTTTTTTTCCCATTGCCTATTTCTGTTTTAAATTAAAACACCCTTCAATAAAATATATATATATATATATATATATATATATGATTGAGAACCCCTGATTTAAAGCAGCAAAAACTCAAGTTCAACAGGACTTTGAGTTCAACTCAAATTCAAAACTAACCAGTGTCTATGACATTTTTTCTGTGAGTGTATCTCAGTGTCACGTGTTTTCATGATTTGTTGGATGGGGTTGTAGAATACACGGCTGTGTATCAGTTCTGCCACTAGGGGGTGCTTGAATCTCAAGTTTTGGAAGCATAAACACAGTGGCTTTAAATAGCTTAAGAGCTCTATTTTTTTTGCTAAAAGACATTAATGGTATTTAAAAAAAAAGGCATAGCACAGTGAGCAATTCCGACTGTGGACATTATTGATCATGAAGAGGATGTAAGATACAATCAAGTTCTTTAAATCAACAAAGATCTTAAATTAATCAATTAATCCTTTTTTTATTTTTATAACCAATTGTAAGACAAAAGAGCATCTTTTATCTGCTCTTTTGAAAAGCGTCTTGAGATACCATTTGTTATAAATTGACGCGATACAAATGAAGATTGATTGATTGATTGATTGATTGACCATTCATATAACAGTAATGTGAATTCATCATTCTTCTCTTCTTGTACTTCTGTTACACTTTACATATTTTACTATTTTGGCATTATCACATTTGTTTCTCATATTGTTCAGTGAAAAACAAAATGATGGTGTGTCTTGACAGAGAGTATGTAAACATGATTGTCTATGTCTTTTAGCTGAGCTGAAGCTTAATAGAAAGACTTTTGTTTCTTTACTTCTTGTTACCCTCTTGAAGTTTCATAAGAGTGTCTTCTAAACAAGCACAGCTAAAGAAGTCAACACATGGAATCCCTGCTCTAATGCCCGGGTCGCGTAACTTATTCATCTCTAAATTAATCATTCAAATATCCTCCAGCAAAAACAGATGACAAAACTGACACTCTAGTGCATTGTTCTTAAATGTAACGTTTCTTTAATCAATGATATTAAGTTATAAGAAGATATATTTTACACTGAGGCAGTAATCTGCCTGAGGTGACAGGTGTGCCTGGAGCTTCATCCTGCAGAAAGATCCTGAAGTGAATCCTGCAGCAATGTCACCCATATACTGCACCACCCCCAAAACACCCACACAATTAGCACCAACTAAATGTAAAGATGTAGATTAGCAGTTAAAGCTCACATCTAGACGTTTTCATTCACAATTACCTGCATTATGTCATGCACATTTAACAGAAAAGCTTTATTTTAAACATCAAATCTGGGCTGAGAGGGAAAAAAGAGATGTGATATGGATGTTACTTTTTAAATATTCTTCCTTTTACACAATGTTTTCTCCAATCATAGCGTTTCATGCTGCTAATACTGATGCCTTTAATTACATCTCCTCAAGCAACTTTTTTTGTTCTTGCAGTTTTTAGAATTGATCACTTATTCTATTCATAAAATGTATATCGTTGTATAACCCTAATGCATGTCTGAATACATAAATATAATCTTAATAGCAATCTTTTTTTAATTTCCAACCCTGATATGTACAGTACAGATATAGATTCATACCTTAAGCACCAATTGATACCATTATAAATAAAGACTCATAGATATTTTTTCTTACCTTTTAAATCATTTGTGCAAATAATATCCCCTCCCCACCTTAATGTCCAGAAGCAGTAAAACCTTGATCACTTTGTCCTTCTCACCACATCACATGTATGAAGTGGAGGGGCTTGCAGGTACACATACTGTGCTGTGCCAGGGTCTTGAGTTTATGTATTATCTTCGTGTGACTCATAGCTTCAACCGACAAGTTCCAACAAAGTGAAAGCTGTTAATTCAGCCCATGACAGGCAAACTGTTCAGGCAGCGCAAGAAAAACAGCCTCAGGCTCAGCGAATGAACGAGTTAAACACTTATCATTAAAAAGTAGAAGTGATTAAACAGTGTGTTGCACCAATTGTATTACTATCACTGTGGTTATCATTATCCTAAAGAGACATGCTTGTGTTAGTTGTTAAACTAGGTGAACATGCTTTGTGACTGCAAGTCGTAAACAACAGAAGAATTTAACCTTGAACACTGAACAGTACAGTATATCATTGGAAAGTCAAAGTGAAAACATGGCTTTTGAAATGTGAATAAAAAGCAGAGATTCCTTTAAATAATTATTATTATTATTTTAAATCTTGTGCAGTCCAGTCAGATGAGAGGCTCTTATGCAGCAGCAGATTTGTGTCTATAAATATATTTCTCTCTCTTTTTCGTTAAATGCAAACTGGTGAGGAAACTTCTGGCACTGGGTACGGGAACGTCTCAGAGAAGGGTCAGTTGTGTAAATGATTCAGAATAGAATAGAATAGAATAGATGTTTATTGCCATTTGACCAGGTATAGGACAGTACAGGTACAGGAGAGTACAGGTACAGGAGAGTACAGGTACATTAGAATTTTTGTGCGTTTCTCCCTGAGTCAGCTTCTACAAAAAAGTTTAAATTATATATAAAATAGAATAGCATTATAAAGAAAAAAAGAGTAGAAAAGTACAAATAAAATAAATAAATAAATAAATAAGTTGTAGTAACAGCTGAGTAAATTAAAATAAACTGTACAGAAGCTATACACTCTATTAAAGCAAAGATATAAATAACAAAGGGGAACACTGTACAATGAAATGAAAATATAAACATGTTTTCTTGTCTCTTCACATGAAAGTTCATATAAAACTTTAATGAAATCCGAAACCTCCATTGTGAAGTTTAAATATTGAAATGTGAGGACTTTGTTTACATAGTTTTGTCTTTTCAGTGGCAGTGAGGCCTGAAGTGCACACCGAGCATGGCACCCTGTCAGGTTTATTCATATCAGAGCTGAGAAATGCAGTCTTTGCTACTTCAGTTTGCTTAGGGGGGCAATGCCGTTATATGTATTGACATATATTCAAAATGATGAAACAGAGGAGCAGTGAAAACATCAGATCAAAGGCAGGACAATGAGACGCTGATCTGACATGGTTTTTCTACGTCTAAACTCCCGACTTCCTCGCGGCATTGTTTTCTATGTTTTATTACACCTACGTTATTGTTTCATTCGTTTTCTTTTTCTTAAACGTTTTAAATTCCCCCACTGGTGTTTATTCATTTTTATCTCCCGTAATGTTTATGTAAATAACTTATGTATTTGTTTATATGCATTGATTTGACAACCCAGTGCTGTAACTAGGGGTTGCACAGACTAGGGGATGTGTCCACTTTACAACTGTGTGATAACTCTCTATGAACGATGTCGACTAATTGCCACTGTCCTCCTAATAAACTGGGACTGAGCAGGACTTTGGCATCAAGTTTTTTCCTCTGCACTCCCTTACTGTATGGCAGTTGTAAACACATGCGTTATTGTTGCATACTTTATTGCAGCTGTTGCAAACTGCTGTTTCTTCTTGTGTTAATCGTCTTCAGGTTTTGCTAATCAATATTTGTGTTGGTTGCTGAACATTCGCTTTTCCCGTGGTTTTACTCATAACTTCATCAGTGGCGAGACAACATATATCAACTAAAAAATGAAACAACAAAGATAAAAATAACGATAATTAATTTAATTAATTTAATAACTGTATTGATCCCCCAGGGGGGACAT